ACACAGATAAATTGGTAGATCATTTAGGGCGGCAGCATCTACTCTTCGGAACTCCCTGCCTATTGAGATCAAGCAGACCCTTTCACTGTACTCTTTTTCAATGCCTACAAAAAACATTGACACTTAGACAGGCCTACCCTGATGCTTAGGACGCGCGTGGCGCTGTGGGTTAAACCACAGAACCTAGGACTTGCCGATCAGAAGGTCGGCGGTTCGAATCCCCGTGACGGAGTGAGCTCCCGTTGCTCGGTCCCTGCTCCTGCCAACCTAGCAGTTTGAAAGCATGTCAAAGTGCAAGTAGATAAATAGGTACCGCTCCGGCGGGAAGGTAAACGGCGTTTCTGTGCGCTGCTCTGGTTCGCCAGAAGCGGCTTAGTCATGCTGGCCACATGACCCAGAAGCTGTACGCCGACTCCCTCGACCAATAAAGCGAGATGAGCACCACAACCCCAGAGTCAGTCATGACTGGACCTATCGGTCAGGGGTCCCTTTACCTTTATCTTTACCCTGATGCTTAGAGAGTGGAGGTAATGTTAATCTGCTTTCACTTGTGTATGTTTTAAAGTAGGGTTGGGTTTTTTTTTCTTTGATTATATTGTTTTCTTGTTTGTAAACCACTTTGAGGTGTTTTCTTTCTCTTTGTTAACAATCCAGGGGTATATAAATTTTATTAAATAAAAAAATGAAACCCAATCAGTTACTGGACGGGCAGCCAGGAGTCCCCAATCTTTGAATTGTTGTATGTACCAAATCTTATTTATATGTATACACACACACACACACACACACACACACACACACACACCCTGCCCATCTGGCTGGGTTTCCCCAGCCACTCTGGGCAGCTCCCAACAAAATATTAAAAACACAATAAAACATCAAACATTAAAAACTTCCCTCAACGGGGCTGCCTTCAGATGTCTTCTAAAAGTCAGATAGTTGTTTATTTCCTTGACATCTGATGGGAGGGCGTTCCACAGGGCGGGCGCCACTACCGAGAAGGCCCTCTGCCATCCCACAGAACTGAAGCAGGCAGTGTCCCCCCAGCCAGAAAACAAGACAAAACATCTGCATGCACACTCCAGACAAATGAAACACAGACAAAATTGTTGGCATCACACAGTGAAAAAGCAACACACAAAATAACCCTTACTTTAAAAAAAAATGCGAGGGGCAGGGTGCTTGGCATGTGCATGTCATTCCCACCCCCACCCCCAGTCCTTTAACATGTCTCCACCTTTGCACTCCAAACAGCAAACAACTGATCCAAATTACCCAGAACTCCTCCTGATCGCCATCAACAAGCACGGCGTCAGCCTCATTGATCGCAAAACCAAGGTAAGGCAAGTCTTTCATTGCAGCTTCCCTAAAGCTTCTCTGTCACCCATGCAAAGTATCAAGATTGACAGGTGTGTTGCCCCGCCCATCTGTCAGAGTCGGCCTGCAGCCAAAAAGTTTCACCTACAGCGGTGCCTCGCAAGACGAAATTAATCCGTTCCGCGAGTCTCTTCGTCTTGCGGTTTTTTCGTCTTGCGAAGCAAGCCCATTAGAGGTTTAGCGGCTTAGCGACTATTAACGGCTTAGCAGCTTTAAGAAAAAGGAAACAAACTCGCAAGAACTCGCAAGACGTTTTCCTCTTGCGAAGCAAGCCCATAGGGAAATTCGTCTTGCGGAACGACTCAAAAAATGCAAAACCCTTTCGTCTAGCAAGTTTTTCGTCTTGCGAAGCATTCGTCTTGCGGGGCACCACTGTACATGATGTAGATGATGAGATGGAACCTAAAGGCCTTTTCCCTGCGCTCTGTCGCTGACTAGAGATGGCTAAATGTGCCCGCTTCAGTTTTTAAATCTTACATTCAGTTCAATGCATTTCTGCATCACTTTGTGATTGCTGCTTTTCGCATCCTCCGAGTCGCAAAAATTCATCAACATTTTGGAATGTCTTTCTCCCACAACACACATTCTTGTATGCAATTTTCCCTAATGCAACACATTTTTACATCTCGATTTCACCAATATATGCATTTTTATGCACATTTACACCAAAACTGCCCAAGCTTGCACCCGGGGAGCTCACTTCGGTACTGCTAAGGCAGTGGTTGGCTTCATTGCCAGAGGTGAATTCCATTGTGTCTGGAGACAGACAGATAGATGCCCACCAACCAATGCCTAATGTTCCCATATTTATATACTACTTTTGGTTGGAGAACTGTGTCACAAAACCTGGCGAAACGTGGGTTTCACACATCATTTCAGGAAGTGCAGATGAGGTAGGTCCAGATTAAGATGCAGACCGAGCCGAATCATTTCCCCCCGGCCCTACCATTGAGTGTCCTGTCTAAGCCTCCCATGACCCTGTGTGATGGATCCCTTGTTTCCATGGAGTTGCTGAAGGCTGAGTTGATGGAGTGGGGAGACAGGGTCCAGAGTTGAATCTGTGGTGACACTCCTGACTTCCTTTCCCGTGTCCCCAGGATATTCTCATCACGCACCCCTTCACAAAGATCTCCAACTGGAGCAGCGGCAACACCTATTTCCACATCACCATCGGCAACCTGGTGCGGGGGAGCAAGCTGCTCTGCGAGACTTCGCTGGTAAGACACCCAAAATGCTTCCAGGCGCGCACAGTTCCCAAATGTGGAGGAAAATGGACCTTCAGACTGTGGGGCTTCAGAAACCCCTCTACATAGCTCCTCCAAGGCCTTGGCCATCATGCTTTGTGGCCGTTGAGTCGGCCTGCATGGGTTGAGTTTTAAAATGGCCGCCTGGTGCCATTGTGATGTCAGGTGACTGGCAGGTCAGTGGCACCGCCTCCCGACTAAACCTGGTCCCTGAGGGGTTGGGGAGATGATGTGGAATGCTGGCCAGATCCCAGCCGCACAACCCTAGCTTAGATACACTCCTATGAATGTAAGAAGAGCCCACTGGATCAGGCCGGTGACCTGTCTAGTCCAGCATCCTGTTCTCCCAGTGAGAAACCCACAAACAAGATCTGAACACAAGAGCACTGCCCCTTGTTCCCTTGTTCCCGGCTTAGCGGCTATTAGCGGCTTAGCGGCTATTAACAGCTTAGCGGCTATTAACGGCTTAGCGGCTTAGCAGCTTTAAGAAAAAGGAAACAAACTCGCAAGAACTCGCAAGACGTTTCGTCTTGCAAAGCAAGCCCATAGGGAAATTCGTCTTGCGGGGCACCACTGTATTTAGGGCTTTGAATTGTGCTCGGAAATGTACTGGGGGGGTGCTATCAGGGTGTGTCAACCTTGTCCCTCTCGACTCTTCCCCCAGGGCTACAAAATGGACGATCTCCTGACATCTTACATCAGCCAGATGTTGACGGCGATGAGCAAACAGAGGAGTACAAAAAGCAGCAAGTGAAGTGAGAGGAGCCACGGGCCTCTTGGCCTGGAGTTACTCTGTCAGCTGAGGACTGTGGGTTACCCCTGCAGCTGGGGGAAGACCTTCTCCACCCACGTGTGGAAGATGAGCCGGACTCCTTCCGAAAGCATGTCAGACTCCGATTCCGAGGACTGTGGGCTGACGTCCCCTTCCAGCGAGGATGACTATCTGTGAGAACAGCCTTTGCGTCGCCTCCCCTTTCCTCTCCCCGCTCCTGGATTGAAGCCTCAGCGCATCTTCCGTCACCCTGAGGCTACAGCAAAACTCCGGCGTGGTTTTTTAAGAAAATTGGAACCAAAATGGCAGGACACGCCAAGGACCGTGTGGAGGGAAAACCTCCATGCTGCTTGTTTTAAGGCCTTTGAACCACATTACCGGCGACGAGATGGACCCGTGCCAGAAACGGAATGATCTCATAAAAATCTAGTGGATTCGGGGCTTTCATTCTTTCTCTTTCTTTCTTTTCGGAAGATGAGAAGCGAAATACTTTTTTTGTTTGCTTGTTTTCAAAATGAAATGTAAAAGGCCGGGGAGAGGAAGCCCATTTCACAAAAGGAAACAAAAGTAATAATAACCTGAAGGGCAAAAGCATAGATTGACTTGAGATGTAACGTACACTGCGGGGGTGTGGGGGTGTGTGAAATGTTTAAATGTGCAATAGCTGGACTTATTTAAGGAGGTTTGGTTCTGACGGTTGTTTGTTTCGTATTCCTTTTATTTATTTAACATAGTGGGGTCGGGTGGCTTTTCTCGGTTGGTAAGATTGTAGAGACTGTTGGTAAGATTGTAGAGACGTGTGGAGGGGGCTTCAAACAGAACTTCCTCCTAAATGAGGAAATTGAGTGGAAAGACCTGAAAAGGAATATTTGGTGTGGTGGGTTGTTTGGCAAAGGCATTTTTCATGTTGTGCCCGGAATTTTCCAGTCTTGGGTCAAAGGAGAAGAGTGAGTGCTGAAAGCAGGACGCTGTAAATTCTGGCGGTTCCAGGTTCCAGAGCAACCCAGCATATCAAGGTACACCAAACTTTAGAAGTAAACAGAACGGGATTCAATGTGTGGAATTCACTTCCTTTATTTCTTAAGAAACTCATCTTTCTTATATATAGAAAAAAGTTAAAGTAATGATTAGGTTTGCAGCAGGGGGCATTATGGGGGAAAGACTGGCTGTAGACCCCTCTCCACTGAGCCAGCACAGCCCTACTTTTGTGGCACCTTGCAGCAGGAACCCACACAAGTAAAGTAAGGCCCTGGATTCTCACTAGAAACACCCAACCAAAATGTCCGAAAGGTGGGCGCCTTTTTGCCACTCCAAAGAATGGTCCAGTGTCTTGTGCATGAGGACAAGATACAATCTACTTGAGCTTGATTCTGCATCTCCTAAGAAGAAGTCAGGGAAGAAAGGGAGAAAGATGTGGAATTGCTGGTCTACCGTGTAACGTCAGCTGTGCAAATCCAAGCGCTGGCGGGCATTATCTCCCGACAATTCCAGTCGCCGTGCCATGAGTGTCCTCATCCATGAGGCTTCCTAGAGAGCAAAGTTCTTGGATGAGAAAGAATCTTCTGTCTAGAGGATTCTCTTCACTAAACAGCTGGCATGCGAGACCCTCAAGCCACAATTGGCATCCTGTCGAGTTCTGAAAAAATATAAGGATGAAATATATCTCACCACTATATGCAAGGAATAGCCTGTAGACCAGTTCATAAATATTAGGAAAACCTGGTTGGTTTCCTATTATGGTGAATCTCAAGGTTTGCACACTTCTTCCTCCCCACTGCTCTCATATTCCAGAGGAGAATGGTTGCTTTCAAGTTTAAACTAACCAAGGTTTCATGTGACGTGGAACAAGGTTCAGAAGCCTGTGGTTAGTTTAAAGCATGGTTTGATAACAGCTAGGATCTGAAGCTGCAGTTTATTTTGTAGCTTGTTCTCACTAGCCATCATTTAAATAGATCACAGGTCCCTGAATTCAGATGTCATGGGGGAACTGTGGGTTGCTGAAAACCAGAAGCACCATCTTCTGATCCTATGTGCATGAAAAGTGGTGAGGGGAGCTCACAAGCACAGAAGCCTGAAACAGTAGGATTATATTTACAAAATCTGGTCTTTGGGATGTATAAAATACAGTGGACAATCAAGATACAGTGGTACCTCGGGTTACATACGCTTCAGGTTACATACGCTTCAAGTTACAGACTCTGCTAACCCAGAAATATTACCTCGGGTTAAGAACTTTGCTTCAGGATGAGAACAGAAATCGTGCTCCGGCGACGCGGCAGCAGGAGGAGGCCCCATTAGCTAAAGTGGTGCTTCAGGTAAAGAACAGTTTCAGGTTAAGAACGGATCTCTGGAACGAATTAAGTACTTAACCTGAAGTACCACTGTATTTAGTCCATGAACTTTCGACCAGAACTTGAACAACTGAGCAATTACATGTAGAAGCTGTGTGTGTGTGTGTGTGTGTGTGTGTGTGTGTAGATACAGATACCGATATATATTCCTGTATACATAAATATGTAATGTAATATATTGTAGTGTGTGACCACAATAGGTGCCCACGCCAAATGCAGCACGGGGAATGGCAGGCCCAGGTGAGTTGTTCAGTGGCGGTGTGGAAGTGCTTCATAAAGCGATTTTGGGAAGCCACTGTTCACCTGCACCCTCCATCAAATGTGCCTGCAGTTTAACAGGAAGCAAGCTTCACACCATAGGCGCCATCTCCCCAGGCATCTGGGTGCCTGAGCACCCACAAAATTTCCCATATAGGGGCTGGTCACCCGCAAAACACAGGGGTGGGCATGCAGAAACCCCACTCTATGGAAAGAGTATGGAGTGGAAGAGAGAGCACAAGACTTGGAGGAAGAAAGAAAATCGAGTTTGGGAGGGAGGGGCCGGTTGCCGCGCCACTGGAGCTCGCCCCCCACCATCATGTCATGACGTCACAGTGTGTGCCTTGATGTCATGCCGTGTGCGTCATGACGTCACAGTGTGGGCGGGCCACGCTGGGCACTCAGAGAGTGAGGCCCAAGTCGGCGCCATTGCTTCGCACAGCGGTTTAGCAAGCCACTCTGTGAAACGCCTCCGCGCTCCTTGAAAAGTTGGTGGCGCTTGAGGCAAGCTGTGGTGGAGAAAGGGGGGGTACACAGCGAAGGGAGTATAGTCAGGTGTGGGGGATGGGGTAGGCAAGCAGAGAAAGCAGGGGTATCAGGCCAGTGTGGTGTAGTGGTTAAGAGCGGTGGACTCGTAATCTGGGGAACCGGGTTCGCGTCTCCGCTCCTCCACATGCAGCTGCTGGGTGACCTTGGGCCAGTCACACTTCTCTGAAGTCTCTCAGCCCCACTCACCTCACAGAGTGTTTGTTGTGGGGGAGGAAGGGAAAGGAGAATGTTAGCCGCTTTGAGACTCCTTCGGGTAGTGATAAAGCGGGATATCAAATCCAAACTCCTCCTCCTCCTCCTCCTCCTCCTCCTCCTCCTCTTCTTCTTCTTCTTCTCCTTCTACGTGGTGTGTGTGTGTGTGTGTGTGTGTGTGTGTGTGTGTGTGTACAAACAACGTATATCACATTCTCAGTCAAGTGCCCTTTGGAAAGCTCCCAAGCAGGACAGAAATATATTGGATTTTCCCTTCTTTGTGTGAGAATCTGCTGCATCACCTGCCCCTCATGGTGAAACTTTGACCTGCTGTTTCCTGCCCTCTCGGCAAAGCAGACCCTGTCTGGCTCTGTCCACCCAAGCTGGCCATTGGATGCTCCTGGGCAGGAAGGAGACTGCAAGGACTTCCTGTTCCACATAGGTCTTCATTGAGCAAAATGGCCTTCCATCTTCAGTTCATAGAATCATAGAGTTGGAAGAGACCACAAGGGCCATCGAGTCCAACCCCCTGTTAAAGCACAGGTCAGCAACGTGCGGCCCATGGGCCGGATGCGGCCCACGAAGACCATTTTACTGGCCCACGAGCCACCCGCAAACCGAGCCACCTGCTCAGCAAGTCCCCTGTGCGCTGCACTAAAACAGCACGGCACGGGGTGTCACTCGCCGAGTGATGCTAGAAATGGCGTCTGTGCATGCGCAGATACCAGAAATCGCTTCTGCGCATGTCCAGACGCCAAAAATCGCTTTTGCGCAGGTGCGGTTTTCAGCGTCTGGGCATGCGCAGAAGCGATTTCGGGCATCAAGCTACGCCAGTCCGGCCCACGGACAATCTCTGTGGGAGTGATCCAGCCCATGGCCAGTAAAGCTTGCCAACTCCTAATAATAATAATAATTTATTATTTATACCCCGCCCATCTGGCTGGGTTTCCCCAGCCACTCTGGGCGGCTTCCAACTAAACACTAAGATACAATAACCTAATAAACATTAAAAGCTTCCCTGAACAGGGCTGCCTTCAGATGTCTTCTAAAAGTTTGGTAGTTAGTTTTCTCTTTGACATCTGATGGGAAGGCGTTCCACAGGGTGGGTGCCACTACCGAGAAGGCCCTCTGCCTGGTTCCCTGTAACTTGGCTTCTCGTAGTGAGGGAAGCGCCAGAAGTCCCTCAGTGCTGGACCTCAGTGTCCGGGCAGAACGATGGACTGAGGCCCTTTAGGGCTTTAAAGGTCAGCACCCCTGAGTTAAAGGATCATGTGGCAGGTGAAGGCGGGGAAGCTCTCCTTAAGAGCTGTGGCGGGTCGGTGATGGATGAACAAATACTCTTGCCTGCCAGAAGGTAGCTTCCTGTTTGCTTAGGGCACAACCCCAGAGAGGGCACGGCTCACCTGTCTCAGGTGTGCTGCATGGACCATTATCAAAGGTCCCGTTGCTTTGAGCTTCGTAGGAGGTGTAGCCCACCTCTCTCCACCTGGGCAGGGGGAGAGAATATGCTATTATTCACAATCCATGAAACTCACACACACACCCCAACACTCACCTCCAGCTCTCTGTTTGCAACGGGTGGGTGTGTGTGCAAATATTGGCCTACCTTATGGGGCCGTTGTAAGGATTACTGGTGGGGGAGGGGAATATGTGAGCTGTGCTCTCTAAAAATAATTTCCTTTAATTGCAAACACAGGAGTTCGCATGCCAGCAGGGTTGGATTCAATTGAGAGAAACTTGGAATCATTGAATTGAAGAATTGGAAAAGTCTCAAAGAGTAATCTAGTCCAATCCCCTGGCAACTAGCTTAATAATAATAATAATAATAATAATAATAATAATAATAATAATATATTTATACCCCGCCCATCGGGCTGGGTTTCCCGAGCCACTCTGGGTGGCTCCCAACAGAATATTAAAAACATGATAAAACATCATACATTAAAAACTTCCCTGAACTTCCCTGCACAGGGCTGCCTTCAGGTGTCTTTTAAGAATCGTTTATCTATGTTTGACGTCTGATGGGAAGGCATTCCACAGGGCAGGTGCCACTACTGAGAAGGCCCTCTGCCTGGTTCCCTGTAATCTCACTTCTCGCAGTGAGGGAACCGCCAGAAGGCCCTCTGCGCTGGACCTCAGTGTCCGGGCTGAACGATGGGGATGGAGATGCTCCTTTAGGTATACTGGGCCGAGGCCGTTTAGGGCTTTGAAGGTCAGCACCAACACTTTGAATTGTGCTCGGAAATGTACTAGGAGCCAATGCAGGTCTTTCAGGACCAGTGTTATGTGGTCTCGGTGGCTGCTCCCAGGAGGGGCAAGAGACCCAGCGAAGAGATTTCTTCCCCCAGTCCAGCTCTCAAGGGATGATGCTGTGGAATTAGTCCACTGGCTATGGCCCTTAGGAGCAGGGCCATCTTACCCATAGGTGCTAGGGGTGCGGGGCACCAGGCTGAGAGTCCGGAGCCTAAGAATTGAGCCCGGAGAAGAGTGCGCCCGTCGGTCGGAATGCCGCAGAGGGCTCTTTTTTTGAAATACTTTATTGTCACTTGTACAACTTGTATACAGTGAGATTACACAAGCACCCCCCACTCAGCTCTCTTAGTCTTAATTCCCCTCGTTTACTGACGCACACCCACCAAACCCGAAAGTCAGTTGCCCTGTTGTTATTTTTTCATTCAGCAGCCTAACAGCCCATGGATAGAAGCTGTTCTTTACCCTGTTGGTGCGACTAATCATGTTTCTGTATCTTCTGCCCGAGGGCAGGAGATCAAGAAAGTGCCGGCCAGGGTGTGAATCATCCCTGAGAATTTTCCTCACTCTCCTGAGGCAACGTTCTTCCAGCGTATTCACGGGACAGCCCATAATATCTTGTGCTGTATTCACCACCCTCTGTAGGCACTTCCTATCAGATGATGTCAAACCAGCGTACCACACCGTGATGCAGTATGAAAGGACACTTTCTATTGTGGACCGGTAGAAGCAGTTCTGTGCCGTGAATTCGGGGGCGACCGAGCCAGTGAGACGCTGAGGCCGCAGGCCGGCTCCTCCCTCCTGTGCGCCTGGGACTGGGCAACCTGGGGAAGGGGGTGCCAGGCGGATCTTTGTACCCCAGCACCGCATATTCTTAAGACAGCACTGTGCCAGCCAGGAGACCGCAGAACCTGCCCCACCCCAAACCCCATAGCAGCTTGGGGGGGGCTACTGGGATGCCACCGGACCCAGAAGTGAGTTGAGACCCTAGCCCCAACCCATTGATGACACAAGACCAGCAGATGTCTCGGGAGGAATTGCAGAATCATAGAATTGTCGAGTTGGAACGGACCTCTGAGGGTCATCTAGTCCAACCCCCTGCAATGCAGGAATCTCAACTATAGCATCCGGGACTGATGGGCATCCAACCTCTAGAGCAGTGTTTCTCAACCTGTGGGTCCCCAGGTGTTGTTGGACTACAACTCCCATCATTCCTAGCCAGCATGACCAGTGTTCAGGGAAGATGGGAGTTGTAGTCCAACAACATCTGGGGACCCACAGGTTGAGAACCGCTGCTCTTAGAAGCTCCAGCTAAGGTTGGAGGCCTTGAGAAGGACTTGCTCTTGTTGTCACCCTGGGGGTGAATGGGGAGGGGGGAAGTATTTACCAGTGAAAAGCGAATATGAGAAGGATGAAGAGGACCGCCAAGACGTCTGTCGCTATCCACATACTCCGGTACTCGCCGGGTGTCTGTAACAGAACAGGGGACAAACTGGAGTCACACCTCAAGGTGAAACTGCAGAGAGGGGGTGGGACTCTGAAAAGAATGATGAGAAAGAAGAACCTGGACCATTTGACAGTGAAACAGTTCGATGAAAATAGGGACGTCCTATCCGTACCCGCCAACATTTCTCCGGCGAAAATGGGGATGTCCTAAGGAAAAGTGGGGCATTCTGGGATCAAATCAGAAACCGGGACGGCTTCTGTAAATCTGGGCCTGTCTCTGGAAAATAATGGCGCTTGGAATGTCTGGAGATGGGCAGTGAAACCTCACTCAAACCAACTCTCTTATAAATGATAGTCTGCCATAAGTGAACACGTTTTTTAAGTACAGTGGTACTTAAGTACCCTTTAAGTACAGTGGTACCAAGTACCTTAGTTCTCAAACTTAATCCGTTCCGGAAGTCCGTTCCAAAACCAAAGCGTTCCAAAACCAAGGTGCGCCTTCCCATAGAGAGCAAAGCAAAACAAATTAATCCGTTCCAGACTTTGAAAAACAACCCCTGAAACAGCAACTTAACATGAATTTTACTACCTAACGAGACCATTGATCCATAAAATGAAAGCAATAATCAATGTGCTGTACTATAAAATAAATAAGACAGTATTGTAGATGATAAAAAATACAATTAATTTTTTTTCTTCCCTGCACTGATGATAGTCATTGTTTGGATGGGGGGCTTTTATCCATTTCTGCAGTCACACATTCTATCAATCAGTAGCTGAACTGGGTTCCACACAGTCACACACAAAAATTAACCAAAAAAGCCTCAAAAACGAAAATGCAAAATAAATAGCAAAAACAAAAGTGCAAACTTAATCTGTTCCCGGAAGTCCATTTGACTTCTGAAATGTTCGAAAACCAAGGCGCAGCTTTTGATTGGTGCAGGCGCCCCGGAAACAATATCCGACAGCCGAGTCAGACGTTCGGCTTCTGACAAACGTTTGAAAAGCGGAACACTTACTTCTGGGTTTTCGGTGTTTGAGAATCAAGGCGTTTGAGTACCAAGGTACCACTGTAAAGGGTAGCCCAAACTTTGTGGCGTACTGGTGTCTCAGTGGCTATCAACCACGACAAGTAGTCGTGGTTCCCTTTCACTGACTGGGAGATGCAGTCTCCACTTACCAAGAGGAACAGAGGCCGCTGGAGGTTCCCCAGGGTGTGGACAGCATTGGTGGTGACGGAATCGGCCCCAGAACACCACGCCAGGGAGAACAGCCATGACTCGCTGACCACCCAGAGGTTGGTTGAGATGTTGGCTTTTGCATATTCCCTGTCAAGTAAGCACAGGGGTTCGTCTTAGGCCAGGGAGTTCTTGAGGCCCTGCTTTCAGTGGCTGCAAATTACGGAGCCCACCAGTCACAAAATGGTGACGCTGGGGCAAAGCCAGTGGTGGGCAGAGGCCGAGTTGGGCAGAATGGTTGCAGGTTACAGCAACAGCTAAGGCGACATTTTTCCACCTTCGGCGCATCAAGCAGTTGGTCCCTTACCTTTCCCGCCCCAACCTGGCCACAGTGATCCATGCGACGGTCACCTCCAGGCTTGACTACTGTAACTGGCTCTACGTGGGGCTGCCCTTGAAGCTGACCCAGAAACTCCAGCGGGTGCAGAATGCTGCAGCGAAGCTCCTCACGGGGTCTCTGCCATGGGAGCATATTCACCCAGTGCTTTACCAGTTGCACTGGCTCCCGGTGGAGTATAGGGTCAAGTTCAAGGTGCTGGTTTTGACCTTTAAAGCCCTTCATGGCCTAGGACCCTCGTACCTACGGGACAGCCTCTCCTGGTATGCCCCACGGAGAGCCTCAAGGTCCATAAATAGCAACACCCTAGTGGTCCCGGGCCCTAAGGAAGTTAGATTAGCTTCAACAAGAGTGAGGGCCTTTTCAACATTGGCTCCGGCCTGGTGGAACGCTCTGCCTCATGAGACCAGGGCTCTGCAGGATCTGATTTCTTTCCGCAGGGCCTGTAAGACAGAGTTGTTCCGCCTGGCCTTTGGCTTAGAATCAATTTGATTCCCTCCCCGCCTTTCTTTTTTCCTTTCTCCTCCTGTGATGAGGCTGAATTTTAATGTTTTAATTGTTTTAATGTTGTATTTTAATCTTGTTTTTTAAGTTGTATTTCAATCAACTTGTTTTTATTATTGCTTGTTAGCCACCCTGAGCCCGCTCTTGGCTGGGGAGGGCGGGGTATAAATGAAAAAAATATTATTATTATTATTATTAATCAGCTAGTAAGGGCCATCATCATTCCCCAGTGCTACCTAAGCCGTCTTTCAGTATTGCTAAATTCTCTGCAGCAGCATCGGCCTTGTGGCAAGGAGTTCCATAGCTCAGCTTCAAGAACAGGCATTTGCCCTGGAGGTATTTTGACTCAGGCTCCCCATTTTAGGCACTTAGAAACTACTCAGTAAACTCTTAATGTGATGAGTGGACTTGATGGAGGGATACCAGTTTCCCAATATGTGGGTTGAAGTCACTCAGCGGGGGTCTTAAATCGCCACTTCCAGCACCCTCCTGCTGCCCCCTTGCCCCTTAGCACCCCTCCAGGCAATCCCACCACCTCCCAGGGGGCGGTACCGCCCCCCTTTGGGAACCACTGATCTGCCGGTTCATAAATGTCTCGCTGAAATTTGCCCGAAACATTCACTGCGGAAATCAAGACTCGGTTTTCCGATCTATTCTCTGAGGGTGGGTGGCAGAGTCAACCTATAATAATAATAATAATAATAATAATAATAATAATAATAATAATAATTTATTATTATTTATACCCTGCCCATATGGCTGGGCTTCCCCAGCCACTCTGGGCGGCTTCCAAAAAAATATTAAAATACTGTAATACATCAAACATTAAAAGCTTCCCTAAACAGGGCTGCCTTCAGATGTCTTCTAAAAGTCTGGTAGTTGTTGTTCTCTTTGACATCTGGTGGGAGGGTGTTCCACAGGGAAGGTGCCACTACGGAGAAGGCCCTCTGCCTGGTTCCCTGTAACTTGGCTTCTCGCAGTGAGGGAACCGCCAGAAGGCCCTCAGTGCTGGACCTCAGTGTCCGGGTAGAACGATGGGGGTGGAGATGATCCTTCAGATATACTGGACCAAGGCAGTTTAGGGCTTTAAAGGTCAGCACCAACACTTTGAATTGTGCTCGGAAGCGTACTGGGAGCCAATGTAGGTCTTTGTTATGTGGTCTCTGCGGCCGCTCCCAGTCACCCGTCTTGCTGCCGCATTCTGGATTAGTTGTAGTTTCCGGGTCACCTTCAAAGGTAGCCCCACGTAGAGTGCATTGCAGTAGTCCAAGCGAGAGATAACCAGAGCATGCACCACTCTGGCGAGACAGTCTGCACACAGGTAGGGTCTCATCCTGCGTACCAGATGGAGGTGATAAACAGCTGCCCTGGACACAGAATGGACCTGTGCCTCCATAGACAGCTGTGAATCCAAAATGACTCCCAGGCTGCGCACCTGGTCCTTCAGAGGCACAGTTACCCCATTCAGGACCAGGGAATCCTCCACACCTGCCCGCCTCCTGTCCCCCAAAAACAGTACTTCTGTCTTGTCAGGATTCAACCTCAAACTGTTAGCCACCATCCAACCTACCGAATATCTACCCAGCGCAAATCTCTGTAGTCCAAGTTGAGCCTGGAAATGCGAGACATCTGGAGGACCTCGACTGTGTAAGCCACGCCCGAGGTCTGCTGGAATTCAGGAGCTAAGCTCTGGACAATGGATCTATACTTTGGTTCCAGCCATAGGACCTGCGATTGGCAGAAGATGAACAGAAATTATTCCTTCCATCCTCCAGGTACAGATGCAAAGCCAGGTGCTTCTAGAGCCACGGCGGCGCCCTCAACACACAAGAAGAAGGAGGTCAGAACCCAGCGGGGAGGGGGCAATGTTTGCAGAAATATGGTAGCCCAATGTAGAATGAGGAGGGATGGAGAGGGAGGAATGGATTAGAAAGGGAAATCAAATGGAGTATCCTGTTAGGATATAGTTTCATTCCACATTAGAACAAGCATGTGGAGTTGTATGTCTGTTTACTTCCAGCACAGTCTGCTGGGAACTTCCGTTGTATATAGCTTTTGCCTATGCTGTTTAAAGGTAAAGGGACCCCTGACCATTAGGTCCAGTCGTGACCGACTCTGGGGTTGCGGCACTCATCTCGCTCTATAGGCCAAGGGAGCCGGCGTACAGCTTCCGGGTCATGTGGCCAGCAGGACTACGCCGCTTCTGGCGAACCAGAGAAGCACACGGAAATGCTGTTTACCTTCCCGCCGGAGTGGTACCTATTTATCTACTTGCACTTTGACGTGCTTTCGAACTGCTAGGTTGGCAGGAGCAGGGGCCGAGCAACGAGAGCTCACCCCGTCGCAGGGATTTGAACCACCAACCTTCTGATTGGCAAGCCCTAGGCTCTGTGGTTTAACCCACAGCGCCACCCGTGTCCCATGCCTATGCTGTTTACTTGGACACAAATGGAAGCAGACATGTTTTTCTTTTGTCCTGATGCTGAATAAACGCTTGTAAATATGCTTACATATGCCTCTGTTGGCTACTTCCGTTGCAAAGAGTTTTTATCTCTGCTGGCTTGCGTGCTCAGTCTCTAAAGGTCTCTGAGGCTTGAGTCACAGTTTTTGATGCTGTTCTGAGAATCAGAGTTCGCCCAGCTGCCGGCAGGAGGGCTGGAACCAGCTCCCCGTCTCCCCGGACACATCCCAACATATCCTACGAAAGGATTTGGCTGGCCGGAACAGTGAGCACTTCACGCTGCAACATTTTGTTGCAGTTGCCGCAGGTTTGTGTTGTTTTATTTTGAATGTTTTCAACCGGGCTAGCTATAAAGCATATTCAGTCAGGCTTACAACAAAACCACTTCCGCGATAAACAAGGTGGTGGGGTTGCGGGCGGCACGCCCCTTCCCCACATTCACGGGGGCTGGCTCCAGCCCCCGTGATACCTAAGGGAATCCCCGCCCATGTCATACCCCGGGCCAGCCAATTGGCTGGCTCCAGGGGCGGGGCTTCCGCTATTTAAACCTGCTGCAGCCGAGGCTCCTCCTCTTTTCCTCCGCTGCTGCAGCTGAACCGGTTTTCCCGCCCATCCCACCCTGTTAGGATAGGTTCTCTGACGTTGCTATGAACTACGGTTAGTCGCCGTCAAGGGGCCTGGCAGGAATTTTCCCAAATGGCAGATTGGCTCCAGCCATTTGGTTTTTGCCTACTTCGTAGCAAACCGTCACAACTCTTCGATATTGGCGGTTAGGTTAGAGCGCCATCACCTTCCCCCAAGCAAGGGTAGTCCGGTAAAGGATTCCGGGGGGCGTGGCCTTGTCCTAAGCCTAAGGAGGTGTGGGCCCACGGCACGCCCCCACGCAGTGACCCCGGGGGAGGTCCTAGTTGACGTGCCTCAGCAGGACTCCTCCCTCTGGTGATTAACCCTTCCGGCCTCTAGCCGGTTAGTAGTTAGGACCAATGCCTAAGCCAATACCGCTCAATTCCTGTAATCAGTAAAGTTGTGGCCTAATTTGACCCATTAACCTGAATTCTTGTGTCCTGTATCTTTATTTCATCGGGGGGAGTCGGGAACTCGCCACGCAACAAAGAAAACCGTTTACTTTCTAAATGAATGAGGACAAAATTAACAGAGGAGAACTGCTTCTGTTGCCAGAGGCAATGTGCCTTTGAATGGATGTTGCTGGGAATCACAAGTTTCTTTGGGTGGGGGAGGGGAGAGCTGCTGTACTCAGGGTCTGCTTCTGGGCTTCCTATCTGCAACCAGTGGGCCTCTGCGAAAACAAGCTGCTTTTGCAAAGCAACGTCCGCAAACAAGGTGCGTTTCTGTTCCACTACCTGGCTGGAGAACAACATCGTCAAATTCGGAGAAGCGCAAATTTCAAAGGGTGAACCCGTTCGGGTTTGCAAGTTGTTTTGGAGTGTGCAAATGAATTTACCGTATTTTTCGCTCTATAAGACGCACCAGGCCACAAGATGCACCCAGTTTTTGGAGGAGGAAAACAAGAAAAAAAATATTCTGAATCTCGGAAGCCAGAAGAGCAAGAGAGATCGCTGCATAGTGAAAGCAGCAATCCCTCTTGCTCTTCTGGCTTCTGGGATAGCTGCGCAGCCTGCATTCACGTCATAAGACGCACACACATTTCCCCTTACTTTTTAGGAGGGAAAAAGTGAGTCTTATAGAGCAAAAAATACAGTAATTTTGCTTTCATCCCTAATGCCCAGAAACCACCCCCCTTATCTCAGGAGGTACGGATCGCAGCAAAGTCTCTGATGGAGATCTAGCTGGGGGACATGTTCAGATCAGAATACAGACATAGAAAGCTGCGGCCAATCAGTGTGGACAATACTGAGCTTGATGGACCAATGGCCTGACTTCATATAGGCAAGCTTCCTGTAGGTGGTGTTTTTTTTAATCCCCATCAGTGATTTGATACCTGTTGGGTCAGGATCTGGCCCACACGCAACATACTTGGGGGGAAATTCAAGTTGGATAAAGAGGGGCAGGGTTTTGGAGGAGGGGGCGTCTCTTACCAAGTGAGATTTGTTCCCCATTTCGTTTTTGAGGACCTCCACGGTTCTGTCGATCCAGGTGTCCCTGTAAGGGTGATGCACTGGAGGGTGCTGAAGATCAAAGAGGACCAGTTTGTCCTCCTGATAAGCAAGTTTCAAGAGATCGCTGAGCTTGTAGACTCTCTGTTTTCTTGCCAGTTTTTCATCCTCAGGCGAGAGCGGGGGCATTTCGAAGAATGGCCTCTTCTGCAAAGGAATTAGGGGGGGAAGGAGCTGTAGCTTGTTGAAGGTGCTGGGAATTGTAGCTCTGTGAGAGGTAAACTACAGTTCCCAGAATTCCTTTGTGAGGGGAGCCATGGCCATTTTATTTATTAAGGATAAGAATAAGAATACACTGCCAATCTGGCTGGGTTTCCCCAGCCGCTCTGGGCATCTTACAGCATATATAAAACATAGTAAAACATCAAACATTAAAAACTTTCTGATAAAGGGTTGCTTTCAGATGTCTTCTAAAAGTTGTGTGGCTCTTTATCTCCTTGGCATCTAATGGGAGGGTGCCACTGCCGAGAAGGCCCTCTGCCTGGTTCCCTGTAACTTTGCTTTTCGCAGTGAGGGAACCACCAGAAGGCCCTCAGAGGAGGACCTCAGCATCAATGAGGGGTGGTATAAATGTTCTTTAAATGTGTGGCATCAACGTGACTGAATACAGACTAGTAGCCTGTTCACACTATGCTATACAGTCGTACTTTGGAAGTCAAACGGAATCTGTTCCAGAAGCCCGTTCAACTTCCAAACCAAAGTACAGTTCTGATTGGCTGCAGGAAGCTCCTGCAGCCAATCGGAAGCCGTAGAAGCCCCGTCGGACATTCGTGTTCCAAAGAAGGTTTGCAAACTGGAACACTCACTTCCGGTTTTCGATCTTTGGGAGCCAAAACGTCCGAGTACCTCTCGTCTTTGGCAATCACTCATAGCCAAGTAAGATTGTCTTCCATAAACACGGTTTTAACAATGAGTCCGTAAGTGACTGTGGAGGCCAAGTCTGGATCCACACGTCCTTCCACAGTGGGGACATTGGTTTCCGGGCGGGAGTTGATCACGGTGTGGATTTGCCAAGTGTGCCTTCCTCTTAGCACGTTTCTCCCTTGCGTCCTGAGTTCGAGTGTCTTCAAAGCCCATGACACCTTTGGTAAAGGCTGTTCTCCAACTGGAGCACTTGCAGGCCAGTGTTTCCCAGTTGTCAGTGTTTATACTACATTTTTTTAGATTTGCCTTGAGAGAGTCTTTAAACCTCTAGTAGCTTTGGCAGCTGAGGATCAGATGCAGGTGGGGAGGCAGCCCAGACAAGTGAGCAAGCAGGCAGGGAGGTGGCCTCCGTGAGCAAAGGGGCAGCCCAGGTGAGTAGGAACAGAAAAGCAGGGCAGATCAGCGACTGTCCTGCTCTGCTGCCACTGCCACTGCCCATCTAACACCAATGAAACTGTCAGGGGCAGATCAACTATGGAACTAACAAAACTTTGGCTCCGGGGCCCCCAATCACAGAGGGGCCCCAGAAGTGTCCTAAGTCCACATTTCTTTATTTTTCTGTGTGTGTCTAAAGATAAAGGGACCCCCAGACAATTAAGTCCAATCACGAACGACTCTGGGGTTGTGGCACTCATCTCGCTTTAAAGGCTGAGGGAGCCGGCATTTGTCCGCTTCCGCAGACAGTTTTTCTGGGTCATGTGGCCAGCACAGAGCAGCCGCACGGAAATGCTGTTTACCTTCCCACCAGAGCGGTACCTATTTATCTACTTGCACTGTGTGCTTCTGAATTGCTAGGTTGGCAGGAGCTGGGACCGAGCAACAGGAGCTCACCCTGTCACGGGGATTCGAACTGCTGGCCTTTCGATCGGCAAGCCCAAGAGGCACAGTGGTTTAACCCACAGCGCCACCCATGTCCCTGCTTTTTGTGTCTAGTAGACCCAATTTGTGTCGCACGACTCGAAAACTATAAGGCATAGGAAATTTTTATTCACACAAGTGACTTTGACATATGAGGCTATCCAGTGCAGCTATTTGAATCAAAATCTAAGATGTAGTAGTTAATTTAAAAAATATATAATTGTGGTACTCTGTCGTGGAACAACAAAGAAGGGTAGGACTCGAACCAATGGCTTCAAGTTACAAGAAAGAGATTCCGACACAATACCAGGAAGAACTTTCTGATGGTAAGAGCTGTTCGACAGTGGAACGGACTCCCCTGGGAAGTGGTGGACTCTCCTTCCTGGGAGGTTTTTAAGCAGAGGTTGGGTGGCCATCTGTCCTGGATGCTTTAGCTGAGATTCCTGCATTGCAGGGGGTTGGACTAGATGACCCTTGGGTCCCTTCCAACTCTACAATTCTATGGTTCTATGACTTCTCACTCCTGTGGTGTCCAACCTGCGTCTGTAACATCAGTATAGCTTTGCAGTCTGTGCTGTAAGTTTACACCTTCCTGTAATGATTCTGTGATATACTAGTAACCCAGTCAGATGAATAGGGTAAATAATAATACAGTCATACCTTGGGTTACAGGCGCTTTGGGTTGCGCAATTTTGGATTTGCGCACCTCACCGAACCCGGAAGTACCAGAATGGGTTACTTCTGGGTTTCGGCGCTTGCGCATGCGCAGAAGTGCTAAATCATGCTTTGTGCATGCACAGAAGCGCTGAATCGCAACCCGCCCATGCGCAGACGCAGCGCTGCGGGTTGCAAACGTGCTTCCTGCACATATCACGTTCGCAACACGAGTGTCCACTGTAGTAGTAGTAATAATAATAATAATAATAATAATAATAATAATAGTAAAATCACTGGTTACCCAGACCTCATTGCTGTTTAAGAAGAGACGCCCATAACGGTTCAAACTTCAGGGCCCCCAAAATGGAAACTGTTGTGGCCTAAGGAGGTCTATGGTTGTCTGGCTGAGTTGTAAGTCTGGGTGACCTCAGAGCAGCGAGAGGGAGTTTGGGTGAGCTGTAAGAGGAATGGCTTGGAAAGGCATACAGGAGAGTTGGTGAAGTCCAAGGGGAATGGGGGTTTGGTGAGGGAGGGAGGGGCTGGGGAGAAGAGTGAATATGGGCGGCAACGTGGGTAAGATGTATGGCGAATGGAGGGTCATTTGGGTGAGCTCTAAGGCGGACAGTGGTAGTTTGGGTGAGGCAGACCACGCAGAGGCCCGGGCTGTAGTTGCAAACATGGGCAAACCTGCTCTCGGAGGGCTATTCCACTGCTCAGCTCCCCAGAAGCCAACTTGGGAGATGTGATGGGCTGAGTTCCATTTCAAGTCCCCTTCAAACATACCTCAAAGAACCAATTTCCAGAATTCAGCTTCTCCAGTTCGCTCCAGGGGAAGTAGTCAGCAAGCGCCTTCGCCCACGTGCGATTGACAGCCTCAATGTTGGTGGTCCTTTCTAACGTCTTGTCGTGCATGAGGAAGGGGACGCCGTCCAAGCTGTTCAAAACAGAAAAGCAATTTCGCGCGTCACGCTTGGGGTCTTAGGTAGGCCGTTCGCCAGGTCGCCTGAGAACAGCTGAGATGTGTCACGTATTCTCTATGGTTCCAGTTTTCAGGGGATAGTGGGAAACCATAGTGATTTATTTGGACGGCTACTAAGAACCATGGCTATGTTCTGGCTCCACTGTCAGAGGAATTATGCCTCTGAATAGCAGTCTCTGCGAATCGCAGGTGGGCAGAGTCCTGTTGAGCTCATGCCCTGCTTGTGGGCTTCTCACACGCCCAGTGAGAGGTAAAGGTAAGATAGGTAAAAGATCCCTGGACGGTTCAGTCAAGGGCAACTATGGGGTTGCGGCACTCATCTTGCTTTCAGGCCGAGGGAGCCGGCGTTTGTCCATAGACATGTGGCCAGCAGGACTAAACTGCTTCTGGTGCAACGGGACACCGTGATGGAAACCAGAGTGCATGGAAACGGTATTTACCTTCCTGCTCGAGTGGTACCTATTTATCTACTTGCACTGGCGTGCTTTCGAACTGTTTGGTTGGCAGGAGCTGGGACAGAGCAACGGGAGCTCACCCCGTCACGGGGATTCGAACCGCCGGCCTGAAACCATTGATATTTGAGGGAGCAGGCTAGCGGGCGGGGCCCATGACTTACATCATAGGAGCCTACACTGTTGCTGTACGTAGCTTTAATTTATTTGTTTTTTTATCTTATATTTTGGAAATGTACATCCCGTTTTTTCCCCTTTAATTTTTTTGGGGGCCCCAAGAGAGTGGGGCCCTAAGCTATAGCTTGTTTAGCTTCAACGTAAATCCGGCACTGGCCCCTGGCCTGATCTAGCAGGTTCTTAAAGCAGCACCAAGACGCCAGCGACAGTTTGTGAGTTGAAAGGGATGGTTTAAACACAGCAGGCAGTAATGATCCCTTAAGACAGCAGAGCACATATGGAAAAAAAATATTGACCCCATCTGGGAAGCTGTGCTCCAGAAGCTCACCTAATTTTGACATCCGTCTCAAAGCCAATAGCACCGTAAGCGGCAGTTTTTCTGAACGACATCTCTGTATTTTCGGGAGCTACCTGTTATAAAAATGAGAGAGGAAGACATGACGGATGGGCAAACAGCCCCAATCCCTGTTTTGCAACCTCCTTGAGCATTTCTTGGAAAGGAACTCTGAGAATGCTTTTTTAAATTATTGGTAAATAATTTTTATTTGATTTTACAAGTGTAACATTTTAACAGTAGCAAATACATGCTCAGATTTAGAGATTCCTTTGAATCTCTAGACTTCCCTCCATCCTCTCCACGGGTCCTATTGTCATGTTTTCCAACTGCATATTATTTCACCATCAATATTTTAATATCTCTCCATATTATCCAACGCATTTGTTACATTTACAAGTGTTGTTAAAATCCTGCTAATGTTTCCATCTGCTTACAGTGGTCTCTTAAATAAATTACAAATCTTTCGCATCCTTCCTTGAAATGAATTCTGATAAGGTTTCTGACTGGCCTGGATAGAGCTATGGGATTGCATGGAGAAACAAGACAACTGCACACTTGTAAAATTCACTTCTTCTTTTTGCCCCTGGCCTTGTCCACTCGTGGCATGTGGCCCCTGGAAAGCTAACCTGAATTAAATGTGGCCCTCGAACTGAAAAAGTTCCCCTACCCAGGCACTGTGCAAATATTCGCCACGACGGTCTTGTGTATTGTGTATAGAATCATAGAATCATAGAGTTGGAAGAGACCACAAGGGCCATCGAGTCCAACCCCCTGCCAAGCAGGAAACACCATCAGAGCACTCCTGACATATGGTTGTCAAGCCTCTGCTTAAAGACCTCCAAAGAAGGAGACTCCACCACACTCCTTGGCAGCAAATTCCACTGTCGAACAGCTCTTACTGTCAGGAAGTTCTTCCTAATGTTTAGGTGGAATCTTCTTTCTTGTAGTTTGGATCCATTGCTCCGTGTCCGCTTCTCTGGAGCAGCAGAAAACAACCTTTCTCCCTCCTCTATGTGACATCCTTTTATATATTGGAACATGGCTATCATATCACCCCTTAACCTCCTCTTCTCCAGGCTAAACATGCCCAGCTCTCTTAGCCGTTCCTCATAAGGCATCGTTTCCAGGCCTTTGACCATTTTGGTTGCCCTCCTCTGGACACGTTCCAGTTTGTCAATGTCCTTCTTGAACTGTGGTGCCCAGAACTGGACACAGTACTCCAGGTGAGGTCTGACCAGAGCAGAATACAGTGGCACTATTACTTCCCTTGATCTAGATGCTATACTCCTATTGATGCAGCCCAGAATTGCATTGGCTTTTTAGCTGCCGCGTCACACTGTTGGCTCATGTCAAGTTTGTGGTCAACCAAGACTCCTAGATCCTTTTCACATGTACTGCTCTCAAGCCACGTGTCCCCCATCTTGTATTTGTGCCTCTCATTTTTTTTGCCCAAGTGCAATACTTTACATTTCTCCCTGTTAAAATTCATCTTGTTTGTGTGTAACGGCACACATGTTGACTGTCGTCCGAAGTCCCTAATTGAGTATGACCAACAGAAACGTCCAGTATACCTGAAGGAGCGTCTCCACCCCCCATCATAGCCCGGACACTGAGATCCAGCGCCGAGGGCCTTCTGGCGGTTCCCTCATTACGAGAAGTGAGGTTACAGGGAACCAGACAGAGGGCCTTCTCGGTAGTGGCACCCGCCCGGTGGAATGTCCTCCCACCAGATGTCAAAGAGAAAAATAACTACCAAACTTTTAGGGAAGATTTTAATGTTTAATAGGTTATTGTATTTTATTTGTTTTATTGGAAGCCGCCCAGAGTGGCTGGGGAAACCCAGCCAGATGGGCGGGGTATAAATAATATAGTAGTAGTAGTAGTAGTAGTAGTAGTAGTAGTATTAAATGGTGGCAAAGTGTTGGTTTCTGCTTTCCTTCACTGTGCAGCTCTGCTTGTCACCAGACAGGTGTTTACATTCCACAGTCTGTACTGTTGGGGTTTCTCACGGGAAAGGGAGACTGGATGTGACGTACACTGGTTTCCTGTTTTTCACTGTGTGATTCTCTCCAAGCTGTTGAGGAGAGAGGATGCATTTTTCTGCTCCAGCAGAGGCAAGATGTCTTTCTGTAATATACCAGCTTTGAACTGTAAATAAAGCAATAAAGAGTATGTAGCACGTATTACTCATCCTTCCGCTGGGCACGACAGGCTCTGCTTTAAATCAACACGTGGTTATGGGCTCCAGAGGTCGAATCGGAGTGCCGGCAGAGGATCGGAATGCAGAGGGACGGATCGGAAAGGAATCTGCTCTGCGCGTAGAAGTGATTGATGAGGTATGTGCTACTGCTCCGGGCAGCCTGCCAGCTTCAAGTTAATGGCTTTATGGCTGGACTTTGAACTTTTAAAGCCGGTTTTGCCGGGAATAGGCAAAAGGCTCCCAGGCACAAGTCACTATGCTGGGGAAATCGAAAGTAACTTTTAAGTGTGCCTTTGTGATAAGGCAGCTGCAGCAGTGACGCAGCAAGATTTAAAGCAGCATATGACGCTGAAGGCTAATGCCAGAGTCATGATGGCCCTTCAGGATGCTTGTGGGATTCCTAAGCTCAACAAGAAAAATTACAGCGACTGGGTTCAGTATGCAGAGGCAATTCTGCGGAAAGAGGGTTTGTTTGAGGTGATTACAGGAACCCCCAGTTCCAGTTACAGATGCATGGGAAGCTAAGGATTCCAAAGCAAGGGGAACTCTTACATTGATAGTATCCCCAGAAGAGCTCTGTCTATTGCGTGATAAGACCTCAGCCAGAGAAATTTGGGACGCTCTGAGAGAGGCTCACTTAAGGACAGAAGCTGGATCCACTATGTATTATTTTAATAAGCTGCATAATATGGCTCTTGCTGAAGGTGGAGATGTGCGTTTACATTTGATGGAGATGCAAAATCTGAGACATGAGCTGCAACAGAGAGAGAGAGAGACTCAACTTTCCAGAGGCTGTGTATTCTTTCATGATACTACAATCTTTGGGTTCAGGTTGGGAGTCTGTTGCAACCCAGATTGCTGTGCAACCAACTGCTCAGCTGACAGTGGACTGTGTTAGTGGCGTGATTGTAATGGTAGCAGATCGCCGGGGTGCTAGCTGCAGGGGCCAGGGGGAGTCTTCACAGACGTCATCCCATAGTGCAGTGGAACCACCAGATGGCGCCAAAGCTTTGGAGGCAGTGAAATGCTACTCGTGTGGACGTCTAGGCCATATGAAGAGGGAATGCAGACATCCCAGGGCCAAGACAGAGCAGCGCAGCGAAAGCTCATCGCGCGGAAAAGGCCGAGGCAAAGGCAAAGGTCCGGTGTCTAGGACAACGCAGCACAAGGCTATGGTTTCACGCTTCACTCCAAAGGTTGCAGAGGTCCAGAAGACGTCTAGATCTTTCTTCGTTGTTGATTCAGCGGCCACCCACCACATGTGCAACGATAAGAAACTGTTTGTGTCTTTTACACCGCAGGAAGGTGCGATTCACCAGGCGGATGACCACACTATTCCCAGTAAAGGCTACGGAACTGTTGTTCTTCACAGTTTGGACTTATCGATACAGAATGTGCTTTACGTGCCAGACGCCAAACATAATCTGCTCAGCGTTGGACAGCTGAATGAGCGGAACATTGACGTTTCCTTCAAGAACAAGAAGTGCATCATCACAAAGAAAAATGATTATGTATTGCATGCAGAATATGTTGATCATTTGTTTGTTTTGTATTATGATGATGTGGTGCAGGATGACACTTGTTGCATTGCAGGTTCTAACAAAAGTTTGCATGCAGAGTGTATTCACGATTTTCATCGAAAATTTGGTCATTTGCATTTTGAGGCAGTATCTAAAATGCCTGCCTTGGTTGAAGGTATGACTATTAAACCCTGCAGGTACCACATGAAGTGCAAAGCATGCGCAGCAAACAAGGTCAAAATGGCTGCGAAAGGTAAGGTGTCTAGTAGGACAGCTACAGAACCATACCAGGTTGTTCATGCTGATTTGGTTGGACCACTAACGCCCTCTTTGGGTGGAAATAGATACTTCATGGTTCTCATTGATGCATTTTCTAGATACATTTTTGTGTACAATCTCAAGCAGAAATCGGAGGCTTTTCCTAGGTTCAAGGAATTCTGTGCTTGGTTGGAAAATGTGCATGGTAAGAAGATAAAGACTCTTTTCAGTGATTGCGGGGGGGAATTCACTTCTCAGCAGTTTGAAGCTTTTCTGACTGAGAAAGGAATTCAACACGATTTGTCTAGTCCTCGCTCGCCATGGCAGAATGGACTTGCGGAACGGGCAAATCAGACACTGCTTCAAGGGTTAAAAACCTTGCTGCATGATGCCAATCTTCCAGAGAGTTATTGGGCCGAATCTCTCTCGTGTTTTGTTTACAGTTACAATCGCAGATTATCTTCAGCGATTGGTTGTACCCCCTATGAGAAGATGTTTGGCAAGAAGCCATACATCAAACACATGAAGATTTTGGTTCTGACATGTGGGTTCGCTCACCACAAAACTCCAAGTTAGACAAGCGTGGATTGCATGGTATCTTTCTAGGTTATCAGAAAGGGTCTTACAGAATAATGATGACTGACTCTAAGACAATTAAGCTCACGAGAAGTGTCGAGTACAATGCAAAGTGGGGGAGAATGTGGGAATTTTCCAATGTTATCCTGATGACGGTGATGAGACTGAGGATAGTCAAAAGCAACCACAACAGCCCACACCCACTGATGAAGGTTCTGAGTCTGAATCTGAAACTGAATCGGGTGATTCAGAGGATTTCAAGAGTGCGAAAGCCTCTATGCGACCCTCTGAAAGCTCTGATCAAGAATTGGAGGAACCATTGTTCACAATAGGTCGTTTTTCTCCTAAGAAGGAAGAGGAGAGTGTTGAAGACTTAAGGCTAATTCGTAGGTCACAGAGAGCCACAAAGGCAAACCTCCAAAGAGATTTGCTGATGAGTTTGCTACGATAGCAGTAACAGCTGTTAAAAGCTCCAAGAAGGTATTTGAACCTTCAAGTTTCCAAGAAATCCAGGGTTTGGATTCAAAGGAAGCTGAGCCATGGTTAAATGCCATGAAGGCTGAGCTTGATTCCTTAGAAAGGAACAAAACATGGGAGCTAGTTCCAGTAGTTCCAGGAATGAAACTGCTTGGAAGCAAATGGGTCTTCAAAGCGAAGACAGATCAAAATGGCAAGATAGTCAGACACAAAGCCAGATTGGTAGCCAGAGGTTTTGCACAGGTACCAGGTGAAGACTATCACGAGACCTATTCACCCACAGTGAGATATGAAAGCATTAGGCTTATGCTCAAGCTAGCTGCAGAGGAAAATCTACACATTAGTCACCATGATATTAATACAGCTTTTCTGTACGGATCTCTAGATGAATCACTTTATATGCTTCCACCTGATGGCGTACAGGTAAAACAGGGATTTGTTTGTGCTCTGAAGAAATCCCTTTATGGTCTCAAACAAAGTGCACGGTGTTGGCACACAAAACTCACTGAAGTATTGTTTTCTCTAGGTTTTCAGCAAGGGAAAGCTGATCCATGTGTATTTGTCAAAGAGGAGGGGCAAAAGAAACTGTACTGTTTGTTTTATGTTGATGATTTATTATTCTTTTGGAAAGATGTCGCAATGTACAATAGCGCCCTAGCTCAACTGAAAAAGCACTTTGACATGAAAGATCTTGGTGAGGTAAACAACTACCTATCTCTGGAAATAGAGAAAGATCAAGATGGTAACATTCTAGTACACCAGTCACGGAAAATTGCTGATGTGTTAAGCAAACTAAATCTGATGGATGCTAACCCTGTAGACACACCGATGACAACAGGTTATCAGGTAGATGACACTGAAGAAGCATTTTCTGACACTACACTGTACAGAAGTGTGCTAGGCAAGCTAAACTTCATTGCCAGATGTTCAAGACCAGACATTGCTGTTAGCTGTAATTTGCTAAGCAGACAAGTCAACAATCCTAGTGTCAAGGATTGGAAAGCTCTCAAACGCATAGCGCGGTATTTGAAAGGCACTATGCATTACAGACTGAGATTTAACAATCAGAAGTCTGGTGGTCTTGAGATATTTGCAGATGCAAGTTTTGGAAGTGACGCTACAGACAGGAAAAGTACGTCTGGAGTTTGCTACATGTACAATCAGAGTCTGTTTGATTGGTCATGCAAGAAGCAAACAACAGTTAGCTTAAGTACTTGTGAAGCCGAACTGAATGCACTGTCTTATTCACTTAAGGATTGTGAATGGTTAGTACAATTGTGCAAAGATATGAAAATTCCTGTCAAATGTCCAATCCAGGTTTACCAGGACAACAAAGCATGTTTGGCTTTGCTGAAGTCTGAAGGTTGTAAGCAAAGCACAAAGCACTTGCAATTAAAGTTGCAGCATGCTAGGGAATGTATTCAGAAGGGACTCGTAACGGTGTCCCATATGCCAGGTAATGAAATTCCTGCTGATGTATTGTCCAAGATTGTATCGAGGGATCAACACTGTACCTATGTGCAGAAGTTGGGTTTGTACTGATATTGTGCAAACACGCTGCCCAGTGATGTTCACAGAAAGGGGAGGATGTTGGTTTCTGCTTTCCTTCACTGTGCAGCTCTGCTTGTCACCAGACAGGTGTTTACATTCCACAGTCTGTACTGTTGGAGTTTCTCACGGGAAAGGGAGACTGGATGTGACGTACACTGGTTTCCTGTTTTTCACTCTGTGATTCTCTCCAAGCTGTTGAGGAGAGAGGATGCATTTTCTGCTCCAGAGAGGCAAGATGTCTTTCTGTAATATACCAGCTTTGAACTGTAAATAAAGCAATAAAGAGTATGTAGCACGTATTACTCATCCTTCCGCTGGGCACGACAGGCTCTGCTTTAAATCAACATCAGCTCTTCATCAGGTGAGAAAAATGGTTTGGATTTCTATAAAGGTTAAAAACAAACCAACTATCCGAAAGGGGAGGAAGCGTAATGGCGTCAGGTTATTCTGAAGTCCGTCCCCCCCGCCTTCCAACTCAACCTACCATTGGTGCTCCTCTGTGGCCAATCAGGTGCGGCTTGGGACCCAGCGCCCCCTTCTCCATAATACAGGGAGAATGGAACCCCAGGGGTATGAAGAGAAGGCAGAGGAGGATGGCCAAGTAGGGGGAAATAATCAATACCTGCAGAACTGAACGAAACAAGAATAGTCATGGTCTTTGCTATGCTGAATGGGAAGGGGGACAAGTCCAAGTAGGAATGAATAAGTATTTGCTGGTCTGGGTCATGTCATGTTTCTCACCCACAAGTCCATTTTCCTTTCTTTGCCCTAATATGCAATTAAATAAAAATAAAAATAAGCCAGCATGAAACCCCGCATTTCTAAACCATTTTCTCTCGAAATACAGGTTCCTTCCAGTAGCACTTTGTTGTTGTTTAGTCGTGTCCAACTCTTTGTGACCCCATGGACCAGAGCACGCCAGGCACTCCTGTCTTCCACTGCCTCCCGCAGTTTGGTCAAACTCATGCTGGTAGCTTCAAGAACACTGTCCCACCATCTCGTCCTCTGTCGTCCCCTTCTCCTTGTGCCCTCCATCTTTCCCAACATCAGGGTCTTTTCCAGGGAGTCTTCTCTTCTCATGAGGTGGCCAAAGTATTGGAGCCTCAGCTTCAGGATCTGTCCCTCCAGTGAGCACTCAGGGCTGATTTCCTTCAGAATGGATCGGTTTGATCTTCTCGCAGTCCATGGGACTCTCAAGAGTCTCCTCCAGCACCATAATTCAAAAACATCCATTCTTCGGTGATCAGCCTTCTTTAGGGTCCAGCTCTCACTTCCATACATCACTACTGGGAAAACCATAGCTTTAACTATACGGACCGAGACCAACTAAGTTTGTCATTGGTATGAGCAGTAGCACACACGAAAGCTCATACCAATAACAAAATTAGTTGGTCTCTAAGGTGTCACTGGAAGGAATTTTTATTATTACTATTTTATTTTGTTTCGACTATGGCAGACTAACATGGTGGCTACCTACCTGTAACTAGAAATACAGGTTGTTAGTGGATTCTCTCTCAAAACACACAGTTTGAAACTTAATACCTTTCTGACGGGTCCCATTTCGAAGTACTCTTGCAGCCCACTTGCTATGAAAAGTCGGACCCCCCGCTCTAGAGGGTGGTCCCTCGGCACTGTTGCGGTGACTTTGTAGGGCTAGTCTGCATGATGCCTGAGTCCCTGATGTCCTGAAGCATTAAAATCTAATGGAGGATTCCATCCTTCAACTAGTCAGGCAAGTTTCTTTGCGAGAGAACGGCCATCATTTGCGTAACAAAAGAAGCAGTGGGGCCCTTCTGGGCAAATAATAATAATAATAATAATATTTTTTTTGTATACCCCTCCCTTCCCGGCTCAGAAAACCGGGCTCAAGGCAGCTAACAACAATTTTAAAACACTTAATTGGTACAACAAAAAACCAGCATAAAATACTGTATAAAACGTGAATAACAATAAATTCAGAATTCAAAAATCAATTTAGGGGAAATCCATCCAATAAACATTAGATGATCACCAGGGCTAGCTGGCTAAATTAGTCCTATTTGGGCCAGCGAGGAGACCAGGGGAGAATTAGCTGTGGGATCCCAGAGCGGGTAATCTTCATAAAAAGGGGAGGGGGAGGGAAGGAAGAGGAATAAAAGATCAGGCTAAGTTCAAATTGAAAGCCAGGTGGAATAGCTCTGTCTTACAGGCCCTGCTGAAGGAGGTTAAATCCTGCAGGGCCCTGGTCTCATGGGACAGAGCATTCCACGAGGTCGGAGCCATCACTGAGGAGGCCCTGGCCATAGTGGAGGATACTCCCTTAGGGCCAGGGACCTCTAAACTATGATTAATCATGGACCTTAAGGTCCTCTGTGGGGCATACTGGGAGAGGCGGTCCCGTAAATACGAGGGCCCTAAGCCATAAAGGGCTTTAAAGGTCAAAACCAGCACCTTAAACCTGACCCGATACTCCACCGGGAGCAAGTGCAACTGGTATAGCACTGGGTGAATATGCTCCCATGGCAGGGACCCCATGAGGAATCTTTCCCCCTCCTCACCCGGCTGGTATCTAGAGGGACATTTGCCCAAGCAGTTGTGTGTGAGCTGAGAGCAGAAAACAGGCTGCAGGCAGAAGCCAGAGAGAGAGAGCCATGCTTGACTGGGAGTGGCCACCAAGACCATATAACACCAGTCCTGAAAGACCTACATTGGCTCCCAGTACGTTTCTAAGCACAATTCAAAGTGTTGGTGCTGACCTTGAAAGCCCCTAAACGGCCTCAGCCCAGTATACCTGAAGGTGTGTATCCAGCCCCATCGTTAGGCCCAGACACTGAGGTCCAGCTCCAAGGGCTTTCTGGTGGTTCCCTCTCTGCAAGAAGCAAAGCTACAGGGAACCAGGCAAAGGCTTTCTCAGTGGTGGCCCCTGCCCTGTGGAACGCCCTCCCTTCAGATGTCAAAGAGATAAACAACTACCTGACATTCAGAAGACATCTTAAGGCAGCCATGTTCAGGGAAGTTTTTATTGTTTTATGTTTTATCATGTTATTAATATTCTGTTGGGAGCTGCCCAGGTGGGTGGGGTATAAATTAAGTTTACCAGACGTCCCCGTTTCCCGGGGACAGTCCCCGGATTTACAAATCAATCCCCATACAAAATCCATTGAAGTTGAACAGTGTCCCCAGATTTATTGAAAAAAATCTGGTAACCTTAGTATAAAATTATTATTATTATTATTATTATTATTATTATTATTATTATTAGATTTCTGCTCAATTCCTAGGCTATGAGTATGGGAGAAGCCATTCCTTTTGGGGAGTTAATGCTGTGAACCCTTCCATATTAGGCTCGGGTTGTATATACCGTATTTTTTGCTCTATAAGACGCACCAGACCATAAGACGCACCTAGATTTCGGAAGAGGAAAACACGAAAAAATATATTCCCACTGTGATCCCACTGGCTGTCCTGGCTTATGGGATAGCCGTGCGTAGCCTCTTCTGGGCAGGGGATGAAGGCTCCCCTTGCCCGGGAGAGGCTGCGCACGGCCAAGCAAGAAGCTAGGACAGCCAGCGGGATCGCAGCACTGTGATCCCACTGGCTGTCCTGGCTTATGGGATAGCCACGCACTGTGCTCCGGAGGCTTCGGGCGGCTATCCCTGAAGCCAGGAGAGCAAGAGGGGTTGGTGCGCACTGACCCCTCTTGCTCTCCTGGCTTCAGGGATAACCTCCCGCTGCGCTCCGGAGGTTCCGCATTGCTTTCACTGAAGCCATGGAGCCTGCATTCGCTCCATAAGACGCACTGTAATGGCTTGGCTCTCCCACAGAAGTGAGACACCGGCAGTAATTATCTCAGGTTTATTGCTCAAACACATAAATCACTCCGGAGCTCCTTCACTCCATGTCTGACTCCAAGTCTGCAGTTGCCGAGTCTAAACTCCGCCCCTTACTCTTCTTCCAACAGGGGGAAAAACCCTTTCGCTTCCACTCTTTATCCCTCCTCTCACTGACCTTTTCGCGCCTTTGAGTTTTTGGGCTAGCTATTCCTGGCCTCTCTCCATCTGTTTCTGAGCTAAGGTTGGTATTTTGTGGATCTTTGCTATCTGCTGCCTGCTCTCTGCTCTCTGAAGCTATGCCACTAGGCTGCCCCTCCTCTCTCTCACATTCCAGCTCACATTCCAGTGTCCTTATCTCTCTTTGCCTGCTTTCATTCCCAGCCTCTGTCAGGCTGAAGCTGACACGCACACACATTTCCCCTTACTTCTTAGGAGGGGAAAAGTACGTCTTATAGAGCGAAAAATACGGTATGTGTAAATAAACCATACATCTTAAAGACACCACAGTTTCCACTGTCTCCCATTCCAAGGAAACCAAACTTTTGGTAAGTACCTGGAACCCCTCGGATCTTGCGCCACTTGGAGACTGGGGAGGAGGGTCATGCAACAAAACTTTGTGGTTGTGGGGGGCCCATCAGCAGACCCATGCCAAGGACCCAGCCGAAGTCAGACGCCTTCCCCCAGGAGCAAGAGCCCCAGCCCCTATCTGCAAAGAGATGTTCATCATAGTAACCAGAGCTCATTGTACCTTTGTTGTCTGTCCAGAAGAAATGAAGAGCCACTGGCCACGCCAGGAGGACCATGATGAATACAGCAACCATGTGGAGGAAGGGAGCTGTGACCTGTTGGGAAGACAAAGTGTCCCCATGAGACGCTTGGAACAGAGACATCACCTTGCCAGCAAAGGTCCGTATAGTTAAAGCTATGGTTTTCCCAGTAGTGATGTATGGAAGTGAGAGCTGGACCATAAAGAAGGCTGATCGCCGAAGAATGGATGCTTTTGAATTCTGGTGCTGGAGGAGACTCTTGAGAGTCCCATGGACTGCAAGAAGATCCAACCTATCCATTCTGAAGGAAACCAGCCCTGAGTGCTCACTGGAAGGACAGATCCTGAAGCTGAGGCTCCAATACTTTGGCCACCTCATGAGAAGAGAAGATTCCCTGGAAAAGACCCTGATGTTGGGAAAGATGGAGGGCACAAGGAGAAGGGGACGACAGGGGACGAGGTGGTTGGACAGTGTTTTCGAAGCTATCAACATGAGTTTGACCAAATTGCGGGAGGCAGTGGAAGACAGGAGTGCCTGGCGTGCTCTGGTCCATGGGATCAGAAAAAGTCGGACACTACTAAGCAACAAATTGACACATAACTCTTTAAAAACACACACACAAAAAAGGAAAACTAGCGAGGTCCCAGCTAAAGAAGAATGGCAACTTAAGCCGACAGAATATACGCAAGTCACGGACTTAACATATAGAATAAGAGGACAAGGAGAACATACGTTTAGAGAAGACTGGGAAAGGTTTATTGAATATACGGGAAATAATGGTGTACAGCTGAAAACGCTGGCAGCATGAAGATAAAGCAGCATTCAGATAAAGCCTAGCGGTTTTCTCACCTGAAAGGACAGGTAGAAGGTGCTCCACTGCGCAGTCCAGAGAAGCGTTACCATGGCAAAGGCACAGCAGGAGAAACCCAGGGCCAACACTGTCGCGATCTAAGGGAATCAAACATTAAAAACAATTTCTCCCCCCCCTTTTTTAAAAATATACTAAAATATATAATATAAATTTATAATATACAAATATAATATAAAATATATAATTTAAATATAAAGTGTATTAAAATAAATTTAAAAATATACAATTTCTATTGAATGTTCTGTTTTACAATTTAAGGTACTCATTTTTACATCCTTAAGATATCAATGACTTCCCTTCTTTTCTTCCTATGGCTCATTTTACATATCAAAAATCCCTGCATATATTACAAAAACTATACCATTCAGTATTCCTTTATTGCATCCATCAAAACTTATTTAAACTGTCGGATTTATCTTAATGCTGCCAGTGTTTTCAGCTGTATGCAGTTATTTCCCATATATTCAATAAATGTTTCCCAATCTTCTCTATATGTATGTTCTTCTTGTTCTCTTATTCTATATGTTAAGTCTGCTAGCTGTGCATATTTTGTCAGCTTAAGTTGCCAATCCTCTTTGCTTAGGACCTCACTCACTTTCTTTAAAAAAAAAAAAAATTATTGGCTTTTCATAATTTTATATATTTTAACATATCCATTTCAAACATTGAAATACAAGGTTCCTGTGAACCATCAGACCTCCTCCCCTCCCTCCATAGGTTCCATTATTTAAATTTAAGTTTGCTGTATCTTTTACCCTTATCCATCTGTTTAATAACCATAATTATCATAAATAATTCCACATTACAAGTGTCATTACATCTCTGCCAATGATTTTAACTGTTTACAGTGGTCTTTTAAATATTTTACAAATTTTACAAATCGGGAGAGGAGGAGGAGGAGGAAGAGGTGGAAACTATTGGAAATAGAGGCACCAGAATTTAAATCGGAAATTAGGATAAAGTGCAATTAGTCGAAATGACCCTTAAATTTCTGTCGTGGAATGTGAATGGTTTTAATGAAAAGTCCAAGAGAAATAAATTTGAGAAAATCATAAGGAAAAAAAATATTGATGTGATTTGTTGCCAGGAAACACATGTTGCCAAAAAACACAAACATATTTTAATAAATAAAAAGTTGGGAATATAATTTATCAATTCAGACTCAAAGAAGAAAAGAGGGGTGGTAACTTATGTGAAAGAGAAATTGGAACCTAAACTGATATGTAAGGATGAGGAAGGAAGAATTCTAGGAGTACAAATCAACTACCAGGGAGAAAAATTTAATGTGGTAACGGTCTATGCGCCAAATACAAACAAAATGGAGTTTTTCAAAAATTGGAACAAGTTTTATTAGATCTAGAGAATCACAAATTGATTCTACTTGGAGATTTAAATGGAGTGCCAAACCGGAATTAGATAGAAGCTCGAAAAGGAAGAACTTAAATCAAGGGAAACTTCCGAGATCGTTTATTGACCTTGAGGAAAACTTAGATTTAATAGATATATGGAGATTCAAAAACCCCATGACCAAACAATTCACACATTTCTCAGAGCCGCATCAGAGCTGGAGTAGATTGGATCAGATATGGATATCAAGAGAATTAACAATAAGAGTGTCGAAATGTGAGATACTACCCAGAACACTATCTGATCACAACCCAATAATATTACACTTAAACTGGAAGACCCAGGGTATCTACAGATGGAGAATGAATGATTATTTATTTGAAAAAGAAGAAGTGATTGATAAGGCTAAAATTACTTTAAAAGACTATTTTGATTTAAATATTAATAAGGAGACTAACATGGATATAGTTTGGGATGCCAGCAAGGCAGTGTTAAGAGGTTTTTGATACAACAAAATAGTCAAAGAAGAAAGGAGAGAGAACAAAAAAAGGAAGAGCTAATCACTCAATTGAGAGAATGTGAAAAGAATTTGATAGAAAAGCCGAGCGATGAAGGGAACAAGCAACTGTATAAGATGATACAAGCACAATATTCAACATTAATAAATCAAGAGGTAGAATGGGGAATTAAGTTAATGAAACAAAAATTTTTGAATCTGCAAATAAAACTGGAAAGTTCCTGGCGTGGCAGTTGAGGAAAAGAAGAAAACAAAATCTTATTAATAAAATAAAAGTAGAAGACCAAATCTTGGAAGACCCCAATGAAATAAAAAGTGCTTCCTTAAATTCTATGAAAACCTATATAAAAGAGAAGAAGAAGATGAAATAGAAATGGGAAAATATCTAGAAGAAAACAGAATCAACAGTATATCGGAAGAGGAAAGAAATTTATTAAATAAACCCATAAAAACAGAGGAAATTCAAGAGGCGATAAAGAGGATGAAACTGGGGAAAGCCCCAGGCCCAGATGGATTGTCAGCCAAGTATTATAAAGTTTTAGAAGAACTTATTACACCAGTGCTATGTGAAGTAATGAACGAGATTTTAAGAGAAGGAAGAACACCAGCGTCATGGAAAGAGGCATACATTACGCTGATACCGAAACCTGACTCGGATAGGCTGAATATTAAGAATTACAGACCGATTTCACTATTGAATAATGATTATAAGATCTATGCAGATATAATGGCGACTCGACTTAAAAATGCCTAGTTAATCTTATCCATACCGACCAGGCTGGTTTTTTACCCAATAGGCAAATAAAAGACAACATAAGACATACAATAAATATCATTGAGTACTTAGAATGCAAAACGAAATCCCTGCAGCTTTACTGTTTATTGATGCTGAAAAGGCATTTGATAACGTATCCTGGCGTTTCTTATAAAATGTTTGGAAATGACAGGGATAGAGGGCACATTCCTGGAAGGAATAAAAGCAATTTACTCACAGCAAAGTGCTAAACTAATTATTAATAATAACTTAACAGAACCCTTTGAAATCTCGAAGGGTACTAGGCAGGGTGCCCTCTGTCACCTCTTCTGTTTATTATGATGTTAGAGATAATTACAAATAAGATAAGAAAACTTCAGAGATACGCGAATAAAAATAGGAGTGAAAGAATACAAATTGAAAGCTTATGCTGACGACCTTATGTTGTCTTTGGAGGATCCAGAAGAGAGTGTCAGTAAGGTGTTAGATCTGTTAGAAGAATCTGAAAACTATCCGGTTTTAAACTAAACAGAACAAAAACTAAAATGTTGATTAAAAATGTAGAAGAGAAGGTAAAAATCACCTTGAATCTCAGACTGGAATTAAAGTAACCAAAAAGTAAAATACCTTGGAATCTGGTTAACGACAAAGAACATTAATTTGATGGAAGACAATTATACAACCGCATGGAAAGAAATAAGGAAGGACTTAGATACCTGGAATAGAATAAAGCTATCCTGGTCGGGGAGAATGGCGGCAATAAAATGAGTCTATTACCGAAACTGCTATTCTTATTTCAGAATATACCAATAATCAGGGGAACATCAATATTCAAGGGCTGGCAGAAAATACTTTCTAAATTCATCTGGCAAGGAAAAAGGCCGAGAATCAGATTCAAATTACTCACAGACCAAAGAGATAGAGGAGGATTCGCAGTCCCAAATTTAAAGTTATATTATGAAGCCTCATGCCTCTGCTGGGTCAAGGATTGGATTATTATAAAAATAAAGATCTGCTAGATTTAGAAGGATTTGATTTAAGATTCGGTTGGCACGCTTACCTATGGCGTAATAAGGGAAAGATCCATAAAGGATTTTCTAACCATATCTTCAGAGGGCCATTACTGGAGGTGTGGAAAGAAATAAAAATTATTGGAACAGAATACTCCTTGGTGGCTTTCGCCAATCGATATCCTGACAATAAAAAACAAATATCGAAGGAGAAAGATGGACCTACGAAGATTTATTAGTAAAAACAGAGACCGGTTGGAGGATTAGGCCATATGAAGAAATAAAGAACAAATTGACAGGTTGGATCCAATTTCATCAAATCAACTCTATCTGGACCGAGGATAAAAATGGGATAAGTGAGAAAAATCTAGCTTCCAGATTGAAATATTAGAAAGTAAAACAAAACTCCTATCGAAAATGTATAGCCTGTTGCTCGAATGGGACACCAAAGATGAAGAAGTAAAGGAGGTAATGGTGAGATGGGCAATGGACTTTGGGTATAACATAGAGTTTGATAAATGGCAGGCACTATGGAATAAAGGTATGAGATTCTCGGCATGCACAACACTCAGGGAAAATATGTACAAAATGATGTACAGGTGGTACGTAACGCCCGTAAAACTGGGAAAATATATAAAACTGGTCATAAATTATGCTGGAAGTGCAAGATTAAGGAGGGCGATTTTTATCATATGTGGTGGTTGTGCGAGCCTATCAGAAAATTTTGGGAATCTATTTACAATGAACTAAAAAAATCTTTAAATATACATTTATAAAGAGACCTGCAGCCTTTTGGGGGGTATAATTGGAGAGGAAATCACAAAGGAAGATCAAACACTCTTTCAGTACGCGACAGTGGCCGCCAGAACTCTAATAGCGCAGAATTGGAAGACACCAAGAATCCCAACCATAAATGAATGGCAATCGAAACTACTCGACTATCTAGAATTGGCAAAAATGACACAGAAAATAAGAAATCAAAAAGACACAAAGTTTAATAAAGATTGGAATAAATTCATGGCATACATGGAAACAGAGGTAAAAAAAACTAAAAACACAGTAGGTGCGATATAACACTTGTGATGTAAAGAATTTTTTTTGAGGAAAAGAAACTGCAGATAGAAAATTTTATAACACATTCGAAACCGAGATGAAGGGAAGTCAGTCAGTGTTGTGTGTTAAGTAGTTAATGTAGTTAATTTGTTGTTGTCTTATGTCAGGAGTATGTATATGTATGTATATGTTTTTTTTTGGTGTGAATGTGTTGTGTTTGTCTTTTTTGTTTGTATGGTATTATAAAATAAAATTTATATAAAAAAATAAAAATAAAAATAAATAAATATTTTACAAATTTACTCCAGTCTTTAGAAAATACTTAATAATAATAAAAATAAAAATAATTTATTATTTATACCCCGCCGATCTAGCCCAGCCACTCTGGGTGGCTTCCAACAGAAAATTAAAATACAATAACCTATTAAACATTAAAAACTTCCCTAAACTGGGCTGCCTTCAGATGCTTTCTAAAAGTCTGGTAGTTGTTGTTCTCTTTGACATCTGAAGGGAGGGCGATCCACAGGGCGGGTGCCACCACTGAGAAGGCCCTCTGCCTGGTTCCCTGTAACTTGGCTTCTCACAGTGAGGGAACCGCCAGAAGGCCCTCGGTGCTGGACCTCAGTGTCCGGGTAAAACGAAGGGGGTGGAGACGCTCCTTCAGATATACTGGGCCGAGGCCATTTAGGGCTTTCAAAGTCAGCACCAACACTTTGAATTGTGCTCGGAAATGTACTGGTTTTCCTGGTTTCGGATCTTCCCCATCAGTCTCGCCATTTCCGCATATTCCATCAGTTTCATCTGCCATTCTTCTTCTGTTGGTACTTCTCCTCCTTTCCATCTCTGGGCTAGGAGCACTCTCGCTGCCATCATTTCATACATAAAAAGTATTTTACCTTCCCTTGGTAGCTCTTCACCTGCTCACTTTCCATTTTGGGGCTAACAAAACATGGGCCGCAGTAAAGGTAAAGGTAAAGGGACCCCTGACCATTAGGTCCAGTTGTGGCCGACTCTGGGGTTGCAGTGCTCATCTCACTTTGCGGGGAGCCGTCGTACAGCTTCTGGGTCATGTGGCCAGCATGACTAAGCTGCTTCTGGCGAACCAGAGCAGCACACGGAAACGCCGTTTACCTTCCTGCCAGAGCGGTACCTATTTATCTACTTGCACTTTGACGTGCTTTTGAACTGCTAGGTTGGCAGGAGCAGGGACCGAGCAATGGGAGCTCACCCCGTTGCGGGGATTCAAACCGCCAACCTTCTGATCAGCAAGTCCTAGGCTCTGTGGTTTAACCCACAACGCCACCCGCGTCCCACGGGCCGCAGTAGTGGCATACATAAGCAACCTTTTTTGACACCTGGGAATTTCAGTCTGAGTTAAAAATGATTTCTTAACCCTGCAAGTGTGCGGTTGCCGGAGGTTGGGTGGCCGTCCACCATGTATGACTCAGCTGAGATTCCTGCGTTGCAGGGGGTTGGACTAGATGACCCTGAGAGGTCCCTTCCAACTCTACAGTTCTCTGATTCCTCAAAGTCAATGACTAACAGGGGTCAGCAAACTTTTTCAACAGGGGGCCAGTCCACTGTCCCTCAGACCTTGTGGGGGTCCAGACTATATTTGGGGGGGGGGAATGAACGAATTCCTATGCCCCACAAATAACCCAAAGATGCATTTTAAATAAAAGGACACATTCTACTCATGTAAAAACACACTGATTCCCAGACCGTCCGCAGACCGGATTTAGAAGGTGATTGGGCCGGATTCGGCCCCAGGGCCTTAGTTTGCCTACCCATGGACTAGTAGCTGCAATGGCTATGCTCTATGTCTAAGTTTATGCTCTGTTGTGCTTTTGTTATTTATTTTCCGTAAGCCGCTTTGGGATTCATCTGAATGAAATGTGGTGCAGAATATAATAATAATAATAATAATTTATTATTTATACCCCGCCCATCTGGCTGGGTTTCCCCAGCCACTCTGGGCGGCTTCCAACCGAATATTGAAAACAATACAGCATCAGACATTAAAAACTTCCCTAAGCAGTTGTCTTTTAAAAGTAAAATAGTTCTTTATTTCCTTGACATCTGCTGGGAGGGCGTTCCACAGGGCAGGCGCCACCACCGAGAAAGCCCTCTGCCTGGTTCCCTGTAACCTCACTTCTCGCAGCGAGAAATACAATCAACCAATCAAGCTGTTATTGGAGTCAGTACGCCCAGTTGCTGGGCACTCCAAGTGGGGGAAGTGATGTTGTGCCCAAGTCTTGCTTTTACGCTGTACGTTGAGACATCTGGTTGACCACTTTAAGAATAGGACGCTGGACTAGGTGAGGCTTTGGCCTGAATCTAGCATGATTTGACACAGTTGATCTGCCGCTGGTGCCCTTGCCAGTCTCAGCTACTCTTACGGCACCAGTTCAGAGGATGATCTGGTTCCTACACAGAGACCTGGGTCTGAAATTGTTTTATTACAAGGAAGGGCAACAGGTTAAACAATTTACCTTGTGACTCCAGTGCAGATACAACCGCTGCCTCTCTGATATCAGACACACTGCTATGATCTGTGGATACATTGGCAGGAAGGTACTTAGTCGTACCCACAACTCAGAGCCCTGGAGCCTGGTTGATTTCAATGATGGGAGTAATAATAATAATAATAATAATAATAATAATTTATTTATTTATTTATATCCCACCCTCCCCAGCCAAAGCCGGGCTCAGAGTGGCTAACAGTAAAAGTAACACAGTTTACATAAAATCACAATCTATTAATTGAAATACATTCTAAAATCAATTCATTCTAAAATCAATTCAAAATCTAATGGCAACCATTGGGCTAGAGTTCAGTGAGGATTACCAAAGGAGGGGGTATGGATTTCTATTAAATTCATTTATTGCCCTACATCCGAAGATCACAGGGCAGTTAGGAAAGCACAAAGCTACATAAAATTGGGAATCGATCCAATCTGAAGATCATTTGATATGCCGAGTATATGAATATGAGTCCGTCTAGTCCACAACTTTTTGCTCCAGTGATTGCCAACTTTTTATGGCTCCAGAGACACATTTGGAAATCTAAGGAACTCTCATGGATACCACTGAATATCTGTTTCACAGGAGAAAGTCAGGTGATGCTCAGAAACACGCACACCTCAAACAGGCAAACTCCCCACCAAAGCTTCAAAAATTGGGATAAATGGGAGGCCTTGGTGGGCTTTGCAGAGGGTGTCTGAGGGTGCCCTGGGGCTCATGGGCACCATGTTGGAGACCCCCAGGTCTGTTTGGAATAGCAGCAGCTCTCGAGGGTCTCTCAAAGAGTCTATTCCTGTTCCAGTACAGTGGCACCTCGGGTTAAGTACTTAATTCGTTCCGGAGGTCCGTTCTTAACCTGAAACGGTTCTTAACCTGAAGCACCACTTTAGCTAATGGGGCCTCCTGCTGCCGCCGCGCCGCCGGAGCACGATTTCTGTTCTCATCCTGAAGCAAAGTTCTTAACCTGAAGCACTATTTCTGGGTTAGCGGAGTCTGTAACCTGAAGCGTATGTAACCTAAAGCGTAGGTAGCCCAAGGTATCACTGTACTGCTATCAAATATCTCCTTATATCTTTGGGTTGAAAGGCAGGGGGCAAATCTGCTAAAACAAATCAAGGGACGTTGGGTGTTGAACCCAACACTTTCTACAAGCGATGTGCGCATTATGCCACCCACACGGCCCATGACTCCAGTCTCCACAGATATGTTCCCCTCCCAGAGCTTTTACAGCCTCAGTGCTGCCCCTTGGTGGAGACTTGGCTGCCAACCTGAACCATCCCCTGGGGAAGCCTTTAATCAAAAGAAAGTTGTGCTTACCAGTAATAACAAGAGATAGGTGAAAACGACGGCAGCGAGGATCAGGAAGACGGCAGACCAGTGAAACCAGAAGCCCAAGTTCCCATAATTGTACCTAAAAGTGCGATGCAAACTCGTTACGTATGGGATGAGCCAGGGTTCTAAATCTTGAAAGGCAGGAGCTCGTCATGATGAAGGAATGGGTTTCTGTGCAGTCAGTTTGTGCTGGGAAGTTTTTGCCTCTGTCGGGGTCACCAGATGTTGGAATGAATTCACGACAGATGAGTGGCAGGTGTCATATGAGGCGTCTGCCGGGGCAAGCCCCGGGAACTCTCTTTTATTGAATATTACAAACATTGCCACAGGTGTGCTTGTGGCTGATTGGTTGATACAAACACAAAGCAACTTGTTGCTGATTGGTTAACATAAGTACAAGGCGGGAATTACATATTACATTAATCACTGATAGATTAAAGGCTGGGAAACGGAGCTGGAACTAGACAGGCATAAAACCTCCTAATTAAATTATAACTAAAGATTGATATAGCATGACTAAAACAATTACTAATGATTGATCATAACATGAAAGAATACAACAATCACGTTCCGTAGATGTGGTCAGCTATGCATTAAGAACAGGTCAGGGTACACTGTTTCATGAACTCAATGGGAACTGTTCAGAACATTCTCAGACTCATGTGCAGAGGCAAAAACTTCCCAGCAAGTTTGAACTGGGACCCCAAAACCCCCTTTTCTTCTTTCTCCAAGGGAGCATTTCTAAAATGCATTAACTTGAGCTGTTGAGCAAATGCATAACAAGAACACAGCTGTATAAACAGCTCTCTCCTTTATCAGTCACGGCAATGGATGACCTTGGCTGTTCCAGTGGAGTAGGGATGACACGTCTGGGTCTTATCTTACATCCTGACCACACTCTGACGCACAGACCGAGTGCGGGAACAGCGCCAGAGTGTGTTCTTAGAGTTGGTGACCTCTTGCTCCAAGATAGAGTGTAGGAACAGGAATACCCTTTTATGGTCAGGAGTACAGGAAGGAAAATCCTTTTATGGTTAAGAGCACCAGAGCAGGAACATCTGTGATGTCAACCTGTACAAGCTGACATGTCTGGATTCCTGGGGAAGGGGGGAGAGGGTGCCTGGAGGATATATATACTGCATGAAATTTCTCATTTCTTTGGACTTGCTGTGGACTGACCACGCAAGTGCCTTTCTGCTGCTCCGGAGAACAGAAATAAAGAACTCTTCCTCTGAACCAACCCTCGGTGTCATTTGACTTCCTTCCTCCCGTCCGGGAGCAACGCAGAGCCCACCAATCAGTAAAGTCTAATAAGGCTACAATGACAGCCATGTCCCCATGGAGAGTCTAAACATTTAAGCAGGAGGAGAACATAAATAGCTGCCTTATATTGAATCAGAGCAATGGTCCATCTAGTTCAATATTATCTACATAGGCTGGAAGCAGTTCTCCTGGAAATCAGACAGAGAGCTCTATTTAGAGATGTGAGGATTGAAACTGAGACCTTCTGAATGCAAAAGAGGTTTTCTACCAATAAGCTGCAATCCTTCCCAATGAAGGAAGAGTAGTGGGAAATAATGCATAACATAATGCCCAATTGATAGCTGTGAATTTGTCTGATCCTCTTTTGAAGCCGCCCAAGTTGGTGGCAATTCTACAAGGCAGGCTTAAGCAGTATGTAGACCGAGAACTCCCAGAAGTGCAAGCTGGATTTCGAAGGGGCAGAGGAACCAGAGACCAAATTGCAAACATGCGCTGGATTATGGAGAAAGCTAGAGAGTTCCAGAAAGACATCTACTTCTGCTTCATTGACTATGCAAAAGCCTTTGACTGTGTCGACCACAGCAAACTATGGCAAGTTCTTAAAGAAATGGGAGTGCCTGATCACCTCATCTGCCTCCTGAGAAATCTCTATGTGGGACAAGAAGCTACAGTTAGAACAGGATATGGAACAACTGATTGGTTCAAAATTGGAAAAGGAGTACGACAAGGCTGTATATTGTCTCCCTTGCTTATTTAACTTATATGCAGAATTCATCATGCGAAAAGCTGGGCTGGATGAATCCCAAGCCAGAATTAAGATTGCCGGAAGAAGTATCAACAACCTCAGATATGCAGATGACACAACCTTGATGGCAGAAAGTGAGGAGGAATTAAAGAACCTTTAAATGAGGGTGAAAGAGGAGAGCGCAAAAAATGGTCTGAAGCTCAACATCAAAAAAACGAAGATCATGGCCACTGGTCCCATCACCTCCAGGCAAATAGAAGGGGAAGAAATGGAGGCAGTGAGAGATTTTACTTTCTTGGGCTCCTTGATCACTGCAGATGGTGACAGCAGTGACAAAATTAAAAGACGCCTGCTTCTTGGGAGAAAAGCAATGACAAACCTAGATAGCATCTTAAAAAGCAGAGACATCACCTTGCCAACAAAGGTCCGTCTAGTTAAAGCTATGGTTTTCCCAGTAGTGATGTATGGAAGTGAGAGCTGGACCATAAAGAAGGCTGATTGCCAAAGAATTGATGATGGTGAATTATGGTGCTGGAGGAGACTCTTGAGAGTCCCATGGACTGCAAGAAGATCAAATCGATCCATTCCGAAGGAAATCAGCCCTGAGTGCTCACTGGAAGGCCAGATCCTGAAGCTGAGGCTCCAAGACTTTGGCCACCTCATGAGAAGAGAAGACTCCCTGGAAAAGACCCTGATGTTGGGAAAGATGTTGGCACAAGGAGAAGGGGACGACGAGATGGTTGGACAGTGTTCTCGAAGCGACTAAAATGAGTTTTACCAAACTGCGGGAGGCAGTGGAAGACAGGAGGGTCTGGCGTGCTCTGTCCATGGGGTCACAAAGAGTCGGACATGAGTAAACGACTAAACAACAACAACAACAAAGTTGGTGGCCATCACTACTTCTCATGTGAGTAAATCCCATAATTTAACCATGCAATTTTGTCCTTCCTCAATCTTCCAGGATATGTGGTAGACACATCTCTGTACTCCAACAGAAGGGACTGGTCAGGGGGCAGGGCTTAGGAACTGCTGGGAGCCTGCCCTCCTGAACCTGCCACCCGAGTCTATCATCTCACTTCGCCTAATAGTAGGGCCTCATGGACATAGAGAGACAACAGGACTGTACAAGGGTCCCCGATTATAAAATCATAGAAAACGGGAGATACGTAGCCGCTCCAGCAGCTTATCTCTATTTCCTTACATCCAGAAATGCAAGTTGGGCTTTTACTCTTGCTAGAAGTGTTATGTACTGACATTCTCACCCTGGGCCAGCAGGGGGATACTGTAGATAGTTTTCACTCAGGTCCACATATGCAAATAAGGGATTGAAAGTGACGTTCAGTGATTGGATAGTTACAGAAAGTGTTACAGTTGCATTGTACTGGAGCTCTATATAAGCAGGCTGGCTGAACCCTTCAGTTCAGTTCTGTTCTGGCCTGTGAATAAACAAGAGCTGTTTGAAGAATCGCTGTGTCGTCTGATATGTTCACCCACAACTTAACAAGAAGCTCAGCCTTGCCCTCACCGGTTCTGGAAGGCTCCTACAGAAGGGTCCCGTACGCGCAGAGACTTTGCGCCTGCCCATTAGATGAAATAGGAAGCCTCAAACATATATTTTTTAGATGTCCTTTTTATGCTGAGATTCGTAGAGACACAACTGATCCTTTGCTGAAAAGGCTCGCCAGTCTTTCAGACAAGTCTAAACTTAATTTTCTCCTCTTAGGCAAAGATCATAAAACGACCTGGCTGGTAGCCAGATTCTGCGCCCAGATTTGTTGGCACAGGTCATCCTCTAGAATAAAATAGCTTACTAGGGAAATGCTGAAGTGGCCCTTTGGAGTGCCTCAGGGTCAATTTTTTATGGTAGCCCAAATCTCAGCTATATGGGTGTATGTATATATTTCAATTTTAACTCATGAGCTATTGCTGCAATCTGCTCCGATTGTATATTTTATATTGTATATTTTATATTTTATGAACGCTGTTTTTATCTAATCTAATAGTAGGGCCGGTTGCGCCTCGCAGGCATTTTGGCTCTGGTACCTGCCTGGCCATTCCTTATGGGGGTGATGGGGCCTGTGGGTTGCAGAAGGAAGACGGGCAAGAAGAAGCTGGATTTCAGAAAGGGTTGCCTACCATTACTGCATTTCTCAGTAAGGAATCCCTGGGTTTCCCAAGACACAGTATAAAAATCATTATCTGTCAGGCTTCACCCCTCCCATGGCGCCAGCCAAGAAGTAGTTAAACAAGAAGAGTTCTTCTTCTTATTGTTGTTTAGTTGTTTAGTCGTGTCCGACTCTTCATGACCCCCTGGACCAGAGCACTCCAGGCACTCCTGTCTTCCACTGCCTCCTGCAGTTTGGTCAAACTCATGCTGGTAGCTTCCAGAACACTGTCCCACCATCTCGTCCTCTGTCATCCCCTTCTCCTTGTGCCCTCCATCTTTCCCAACATCAGGGACAGAGAGAGAGAAATGCCATCTCTCTTGGATAATGGCGTTGCTCCGAGTAAAGTCCCACCCCCTCCATCTCTCCTATTCTATGTCATCCCAGCGTCGGCTGATCTGAGCTTTCTGTTCTCCTACTCTCAATGCCCATCGGGTTCTGGGAGGGAGGGCATCAGAAATGCTTTCCAAAGACACTGAGTCTGTCAGCTGTCTCTTCCCTGGTGCATCTTCTTCCTCCTGCCCCCTCCCAATATTTCTCAGCTTCTCCCCTCTGCAGCCTTCTGCAAACCACTGTTGTAAATCCACACTGTCCTCCTCTTCTAGGGAAGGTTCAGGAGGAGTGTAAGCATTTCACTCCTCCGTTGCTGATGTGTGACGGTTATCATCATCATCATCATCATTTGTATACCGCCTTTCTATCTTACAATACTCAAGGGGGTTTACAAGCTGAACAAACAAAAAATGTACATCTTATAACGATCTAATGCAATACAAAAATGTGATAATAAAACATAACTTTAAAATAGGCAACCTCCATCAAAAAAGTAACGTTCAACAATCATTAGAATAGTATAAAATAATAATATCAGCATATAAAAGTTAAACAGAAATCCACTCAACAGTTACAATAATATCTAAACTATAATCAATAAAACAACGGCAAGCCACAGAACATTAAACAATACAATACACATTGAGAAGCAGAGAGTTGGGCAAGGCAGGTGGAAGGTGACCTTGCCTGATGGAGTCTTTTATATCACATATCCGTGTTTACTTTCTAGGCTTGGCAAACCTGAGAACAGAAATAACCTTATCTCTTCCGCTCTGTTGTGTTTTTGTACTTTTTCCTTTCTGTTCTCTCTTGGAGCTGAAGTGAGAGGACGCCATGATCACTTTGTCCTGTATATAAAGGTAAAGGTAAAGGGAACCCTGACCATTAGGTCCAGTCATGGCCGACTCTGGGGTTGCGGCGCTCATCTCGCTTTATTGGCCGAGGGAGCTGGTGTACAGTTTCTGGGTCATGTGGCCAGCATGACCAAGCTGCTTCTGGCAAACCAGAGCAGTGCATGGAAACACCATTTACCTTCCTGCCGGAGCGGTACCTATTTATCTACTTGCACTTTGATGTGCTTTCAAACTGCTAGGTTGGCAGGAGCGGGGACTGAGCAACAGGAGCTCACCCCGTCGCGGGGATTCGAACTGCTGACCTTCTGATCGGCAAGTCCTAGGCTCTGTGGTTTAACCCACAGCGCCACCCGCATCCATTGTCCTGTATATAAAGGTAAAGGTAAAGGGACCCCTGACCATTAGGTCCAGTGGTGACCAACTCTGGGGTTGCGGCGCTCATCTCGCTTTATTGGCCGAGGGAGCCGGCGTACAGCTTCCGGGTCATGTGGCCAGCATGACTAAGCCGCTCTGGCGAACCAGAGCAGTGCACGGAAACGCCGTTTACCTTCCCGCCAGAGTGGTACCTATTTATCTACTTGCACTTTGATGTGCTTTCGAACTGCTAGGTTGGCAGGAGCAGGGACCGAGCAACAGGTGCTCACCCCGTTGCGGGGATTCGAACCGCCAACCTTCTGATCGGCAAGTCCTAGACTCTGTGGTTTAACCCACAGCACCACCCACGTCCCTTGTCCTGTATATAGTGCTTAATAAAAGCTTAGAATGAGCACACCAGTCTCCACTTTGTTTCTGCTAAACTCTGCTGAGTGTGCAAGCGCATAGGCATTTGCTATGTGTCGCTGGAGCGGGCCAGGACCGATGATTTATGGACAAACAGGAGCTGCGCAACCTCAGGAAGATGCCCGGAGAGGTTGGTCTCATCTCGGGGGCTGTATGGACACCCTGGTGTAATCCGATAAGGAGGTCTCCACTATTCCTCCTCAGTCCAGTCCCTGACATTATCCTAGACCAGGGGCTCCCAGATTGCGGTCTGCAGAACACCACCGTTCTACAGGCTTCATTCCCATGGTCCATGTCCTATTTTTGAAAAACAATGGCAATGTGAATCCTGCGGGTGTTTATGTACCGTATTTTTCGCTCTATAGGACGCACCGGACCATAGGACGCACCTTGTTTTAGAGGGGGAGAACAAGAAAAAAAAAATCTCCCCCTTTCTGCTCAGCGCCCCTTCAGCGAAGCGACAGGAGAAACGGAGCCCCTTCCATTTCTCCTCCCACTTCGCTGAAGGGGCGTTGCGTAGCTCTCCCTCTCTGCTGAAGCCAGGAGTCTTGCTCTCCTGGCTTCAGCAAAAGGAACCCAAAGCCTTCGGAGCGCAGCGTGAACTCGTGTTGCACTCCGAAGGCTTCAGGCGGCTATCCCTGAAGCCTGGAGAGCGAGAGGGGTCGGTGCGCACCGCCCCCTCTCGCTGTCCAGGCTTCAGCGAAAGCAATGCGAAGCCTCTGGAGCGCGGAAGGAGCGCTCCCTCTGCGCTTCGGAGGCCTCGTGTTGCTATCGCTGAAGCTATGGAGCCTGTATTCGCTCTATAGGATGCATACACATTTCCTCTTAATTTTTGGAGGGGAAAAAGTGCGTCCTATAGAGTGAAAAATACAGTACTTCAAATTGTAACACGATAGCATACAATATAAGAAATAAAAGCTGCAGTACATACCCAGTTAAAAATAACGCATCATCTTCCACCCAGTTATGCACCCTTTTCCGGCCACTTCTGGGTCACCACAATGCATACATGTGCAGTTGTGCACCAATTGGACACGTGTAAATCGCTCGTGGTCTGTATTACCACTTCCCCCACTCCTAGAAGCAACCCTTTTCTTTAAGGATGTTGCTTTCGAAGGTCAGATAACCAGGGCACCTACCAGTCAAAATTATGGTAGTCATTCTTGGTTTCTCCCCACAGGTACAGAAAGACGAACCAAAGGCAGAACGCCAGGCACACCAGGAAGAAAAAGATGCACTCCCTCTGGAAACAAAGGGAAAGAAAACCCGAATGAGAGGTCAGTAATTATAAAAATAAAAGCTCTTTTTTTCAACTGAAACTGAAAGTTCGTCTCCTCTGCAAATGTGCAAAATGGCTGGCAGCCCCTGGTTCGGCTGAATAAGAAAGCTTGCTTCTTATCTACAGAGGTGATTTCTTTAAAATGTTCTCATGCATTTATTTATTTCATTTGCTAGTGGCTTCGCCTTGCCCAAGGCGACCCAAAGTGATGTAAACCCAAACAACCAAACGGACTGGGAACCTGCCCCCCCATAGGTACATTAAAAGGAAGAGAAATGCATTTAAAACATCCCACCCACTTCTAAAAGGCCACAGAGTCTGCGGCCACAGAGTCTGCGGGCACCCAAGCCACCCCATCACTCCCAGGAGAGACGCATGGATCGAGCGCGCTACAGGCCCCGCGGTGAGTGCCGCCTGGCATTTTGTCACCCCCCTCAGTGGTGACACCCGGGGCAACCCACCCCCACCACACCCCCTTCCTCCACCCCTGCTCAGAGAATGGGAAGATGGAGAGAGACAAGGGAAGGAGACAGGAGGAGGAGGAGGAGTGTGTACGGTGTACATGTTTTGGCCCACTCATTTTGGGCTCTCACCACCACCCGCCCGTGCCCCAACCAGTTCCCCCCAAAGGAATAGGGCCGTTGGGCAGAGGGAGAGAGCAGTGGCGTACCCTGGGAGCACCACAGGGCAATTGCCCCAGGCGCAAAATTGTTAGGGGCGAAGGCTCCATTGAAAACAGCTTCTCCGTGCAAAGCAGGAAGTACTGTATTTTTCGTTCTATAGGACGCACTTTTCCCCCTCCAAAAATTGAGGGGAAATGTGTGTGCGTCCTATGGAGCGAATGCAGGCTCCTTGGCTTCAGCGATAGCAACGCTAAGCCTCCGAAGCACAGAGGGAGCGCTCCCTCCGCGCTCCAAAGGCTTAGCGTTGCTTTCGCTGAAGCCTGGAGACCGAGAGGCGTCGGTGAGCACTGACCACTCTCACTCTCCAGGCTTCAGGGATAGCCGCACGCAGCCCCTCTGGCAGGGAGAGGCTGCACGTGGCTATGGCTTCCTATGGATCCCACTGGCTGCCTTGGCTGGTGCCATAGCTGTGCGCAACCCCTCTGGAAGGGAGAGGTTGTGCACAGCCTGTATGCTGCTCTTTGGGGCTGGGGGGGGAATAAGTTTTTTTTTCTTGATTTCCCCCCCTAAAAACTAGGTGCGCCCTATGGAGTGAAAAATACGGTATCCTCTCCAGACAATGGAATAACTCTTGGTTTTTTTTATTTCTGTGCCTGCGGTCTCCTTGGTGATGTGGATGCCGTTAGACAATTGAATGTGCATGCATCCTCCATCCATTTACCTCGCTCCCACCTACACCCTCTGAGCAGCCCTGGGTGTCGGCCACCCACGCTACACCACTGGGAGAGAGGGGCGAGGTTTTCCACCAATGCGCTGGGACTTATTTCTTAAGGAATCTAACAGGAATCTGCATTCACCCTGCAGCAGCAGCTCTGGCCCCGCTCGATCCTGTTCTGGCGATCGCGTTGCCACTGACAGCTGTACAAGCCAGCCAGGCAGCGGATGAAGCATCGGTGTTCATAATGATGCAGCAAACTCATCCAAGGTTTCCTTAGTTGTCCGACGGTGACAAGGCGGACGTCCATTTCTGGGTCTTCTACATTACCCTCCACCTGAAATAAGAACTCTGAGAGTCAACTGTTTTTGTTCAGGTCTTTGCGTATGCTACAGCGAGAGGCCAAAGGGGAATATAGGACCCTGTCTCCTAAGGGTTCCTAATTTGTTTGGGTTTTTTTTAAAAAAATCACATCTCTAGTCTGTTGTGAAGTGTGCAGCTTGTGCACATACTTTCTCTTCACGCGTGCAACCCTCTTTCGACTTCAAGTCCTGAGCATGTCCTAAAACTGGTACTTTATGGAGTCGGAGAACACCACTGAGTAATAATAAAAATCGCAATAATTTTATTATTTATACCCTGCCCATTTGGCTGGGTTGCCTCAGCCACTCTGGGCGGCTTCCAACAGATATAATAACAGAATAGAACATTAAATATTAAAAACATTCCGATAACAGGGCTGCCTTCAGATGTCTTCTAAAAGTTGTGTAGTTCTTTATCTCCTTGACATCTGACGGGAGGGCGTTCCACAGGGCGGGTGCCACCACTGAGAAGGCCCTCTGCCTGATTCCCTGTAGCTTCACCTTTTGCAGTGAAGGAACCACTAGAAGACCCTCGAAGATGGACCTCAGTGTCCAGTGTGGAGACACTCCTTCAGGTATACTGGCTGAGACCGTTCAGAGCTTTAAAAGTCAGCACCAACACTTTGAATTGTGGGGGACGCGAGGGGCGCTGTGGGTTAAACCTAGGACTTGCCGATCAGAAGGTCGGCGCTTCGAATCCCCACGACGGGGTGAGCTCCCGTTGCTCGGTCCCTGCTCCTGCCAACCTAGCAGTTCGAAAGCATGTCAAAGTGCAAGTAGATAAATAGATACCACTCTGGCAGGAAGGTAAACAGTGTTTCCGTGTGCTGCTCTGGTTCGCCAGAAGCGGCTTAGTCATGCTGGCCACATGACCCGGAAGTTGTACGCCGGCTCCCTCAGCCAATAAAGCGAGATGAGCGCCACAACCCCAGAGTCGGCCACGACTGGACCTAATGGTCAGGGGTCCCTTTACCTTTTACTAACACTTTGAATTGTGCTCGTAAACGTACTGGGAGCCACTGAAGATCCTTTAGGACCGATGGTCCCAGAAGCCGGTCCCTGTCACCCATCTAGTAGCCGCATTCCAGGATCAAATCAGAAACCAGGACAGCTTCTCTGAATCAGGGATGTCCCTGGAAAATAGGGACACTTGGAGGGTCTGATTTACTTGTTTGTATTGTGATTTTAAGCTGTCTGTAAACATCAACCAGAGGCTTTGCTATGAGCATAATATACATTTTTAAATGCAGGAACCTTTTCAGGAGAGCCTAGTAGTGTCTGCCCTTCTCCTACAGACAGAAGGGTCCCCACCCAGGTACTATGTAATCCGGAATAAATTGACTGATCTGATTTATGTACCCTCAAGGAAGCCAGTTCTATTCCCTGTCCTTACCCAATGTACCTCAGTTGCTACTCAATCCAAGGTATCTTTCTGCCAAGAAATCAACATTGCAGCATCCACAGGCCTCCCAGTTAAGCACTTAAACTGCCACAGAACCTTCTAATGTGTTGGAACAAGCACTATTGCAACTTTCAAAAAATCCAGGTCACCATGAAAAATGCTTAGATGAGGACAATAGTTCAGAAAGTGTCCAGATTGTAGAGTCCAGAACATCTGTAGGGCAGCAGTTTTTGGAAAGGTTGGCCAAGAGGAACCAAGTTGGTTTCTGTTCTGATCAAATCAAAATTTATTCAGTTTTTTAAAAAATGAGGTTGGCTCACGTACACCCTCCAGTTGTGGATTAGGTGTTAGTTTGAACTGACAGCATTTAATGTCTTGAAGCCTTCATTTGTCTTTGTACTAAGAGTTGTTAGGAGACCCCCTATTCCTTTTGATTCCTAGAGTTCCCTGGGAAGAGGGATTGGTTGTTAAGCCACTCTAGGAATTGTAGCTCTGTGTGAGGAATAGAAGAAGAAGAGTTTGGATTTGATATCCCGCCTTTCACTCCCCTTCAGGAGTCTCAAAGCGACTAACATTCTCCTTTCCCTTCCTCCCCCACAACAAACAGGTGAGTGGGGCTGAGAGACTTCAAACAAGTGTGACTGGCCCAAGGTCACCCAGCAGCTGCATGTGGAGGAGCGGAGACGCGAACCCGGTTCCCCAGATTACGAGTCTACCGCTCTTAACCACTACACCACATTGGCTCCCCACACTAGGAGCTCCCCATTTCATCTCTGTCCTCTAAAGGCCTTCAACCTGCCCTCAGTTATTATTACATTTAACACAGGACCGATGAATTTGTGGTCCTCCAGATATCTGTCAGGAGATCATCCTACACTCGAGTAGGACCCTGGCAGAGACACATGCCCGACTGGCATGTTCTCTCCCTCCTTGTCGATCATTCGGGAGCTTCAAAAGCTTTCTTCAGCCCAAACATCACAGTGACCAATGCCAACCAACATCGGCACACTTAGGGATCCGCAGAGTCTTCAGCAACTCAGCATTTTGGCTAATCTACTTTATTTACACATAAACACACACGGAGCACTGCAACATGGCTCCCTCTCTCTCTAGCATCAGACAGCAAAGAGGGAAAAAACAAAGGACAATAGTCCCACTTCACAGAACACAGTAACACAAACCTCCTGTCTCCATCACTTCCCACTCTGTGGAGTCAAAACGTATACCGTCATGTGATAGACAACAATCCCGTGACTGCAACCATGGAGCAGGAATTCTAACAATATCATCCTCCAGATATTTTTCATCTGGCCTTCACCATAAGTTCCTAAGGAATGTTACGATTATCAGCAACATTAGGAACAGTTTAATACAACGTACAATCACAAAATGGACGTGAGTGGGGCTGTGGTCTAAACCCCTGAGCCTCTTGGGCTTGCCGATCGGAAGGTCAGCGGTTCGAATCCCCATGACAGGGTGAGCTCCCGTTGCTCGGTCCCAGCTCCTGCATACCTAGCAGTTCGAAAGCACCCCAAAAAGTGCAAGTAGATAAATAGGTACCGCTCCGGCAGCGGGAAAGTAAACGGCGTTTCTGTGAGCTGCACTGGTTTTGCCAAAAGCGGCTTAGTCATGCTGGCCACATGACCCGGAAGCTGTACGCCAGCTCCCTTGGCCTGTAAAGTGAGATGAGCACCGCAACCCCAGAGTCGTTCACGACTGGACTTAACTGTCAGGGGTCCTTTACCTCTACCTTTACAATTGCAAAAGTAGGCTTAGTTTGGTCAGAATCGAGGATCCACTTCCAGAGTTAACGCTAAATACATTAATGATGACAAATGAGCCCCTTATTTGCTAGAGGGCAGTGGAAATTTGTGTCCTGGGGATTTTGGGACTCGTCTGCCCATGTGCCATCTGAAACCAAAGGGCTGCATTGGTTGGCAGATGCTAAATATATCGGCATTATTTTCAGCTCTCCTACTCTCCCTACAGGGATGCGGGTGGCGCTGTGGTCTAAACCACAGAGCCTAGGGCTTGCCAATCAGAAGGTCAGCAGTTCGAATCCCCGCGACGGGGTGAGCTCCCGTTGTTTGGTCCCAGCTCCTGCCCACCTAGCAGTTCGAAAGCACGTCAAAGTGCAAGTAGATAAATAGGTACCACTCCGGCGGGAAGGTAAACAGCGTTTCTGTGCGCTGCTCTGGTTCGCCAGAAGCGGCTTAGTCATGCTGGCCACATGACCCGGAAGCTGTACGCCGGCTCCCTTGGCCAGTAAAGCGAGATGAGTGCCGCAACCCCAGAGTCGTCCGTGACTGGACCTAATGGTCAAGGGTACCTTTACCTTTACTACAAACTAAACTACTGGCTTGCATGCGTTTTACAGCTCCCTATAGATAATTCTCTCTTGCAGGCTACCACCCCCTCCTCCCTTCCAAGATGGCCCCCTTCACTATTAATGTCCAAGATGGTGTTGGACTACAGTTACCATCATCCCTGACCACTTGCTACCTGAAACTGGAGCAGGATGGGAACTCTCTCTCCTCCAACCCAGTTCATTTAGACCAGGCAAAGGTGGGAATCAGCTTCACATTAGATCTCCAACGGCGAAAGAAGTGGTAAGAATGCACAGAACTTTTACGAACCCAGCGGATTCCGTCCTGGTTCCTTTACTGGAAGGGATCCTGTATCAAACAGAAGTGAAGGGGTGGATGGGGAAAGTAACTAGATATTTCAGGGCAGGAGGAATTACAGAAATAGAATATGCAAGAGTGCGATCTGATCCCCAAGCAAACGGGAGTGGAGGAATCCAGTTCTCTTAGATTATGTGGCTATTTTCTTTAATAGCACAAGCACGTGTTGCACCGGCCCCGGAAGCGACTTTTAAAATGGCAAAACCGGCCCTAAAATAGCCCAGAAGAGAGGGCACAAAAACAGGACTCCCATGAGCCTTTGCAAGTGCAATCCCAGGAGCCTTTGCACCAACCACTGAATCCTGTGCAAAGCTGGAGTTTGAGCAAATTCACATTTCAGCAGCAATTTACAATTATATTCATCATCATCATCATTAATTGAATTTATATACCACCCTATACCTCTGGGTCTCAGGGTGGTTAACAGAATAAAATCAATATGTAAAACAACCACAAAATAAATAATAAAAATAAAAACAACCCAATAGTGAAAATTCATCAGCATTTTAGTGCGAATTTCTCCTAATAAACACATTTTTTACTACTCCTCTTTGAACAATATATACTTTTTGCCAGTAATTTCTTCATATCTGATGCATTATGTATGTTATTTTTCACTAATATACTTTCCTTTGATATACGCATTTTGGTTGGAAAATTGCATCGAATTTCAAAGAAAGTGTTTCACTTTGCATATTGGTTTGAGGGGTGTGGAATGGGTGTTTTCTCATTAAAATGCAAACAAAATTGAATTCTTTCTCCATCCCTGTAGAAGACAACCTTTAAATTGAACCCCAGGTGTCTAAAAATAAACCCAACTTTAAGCCTTTTCCCCATCTCTCTTTTAGTAAAAGGTAAAGGGACCCCCAACCATTAGGTCCAGTCGTGACCGACTCTGGGGTTGCGGCGCTCATCTCGCTTTATTGGCCAAGGGAGCCGGCGTACAGCTTCCGGGTCATGTGGCCAGCATGACTGAGCCACTTCTGGCGAACCAGAGCAGTGCACGAAAACGCCGTTTACCTTCCCGCCGGAGTGGTACCTATTGATCTACTTGCGCTTTGACGTGCTTTCGAACTGCTAGGTTGGCAGGAGCAGGGACCGAGCAACGGGAGCTCACCCCGTCGTGGGGATCGGAACCACCGACCTTCTGATCGGCAAGTCCTAGGCTCTGTGGTTTAACCCACAGCGCCATCCAGTTGTCTAGCATATGCAACAACTTTCCTAACACTGTTCACAATAGATTTGCAACAGAAATCACCCATTTTTTAAACATATATACATATACTGTTAAAGGCTGTTAAAACTGATAGATTGCTTGTGCTTAAATCTATAACAACAGATGTGTGCTTTGCTGAAAATGTGATTCTTCACAAAGAGTTGTTCTCTTGGACTTACTGAGGAATATTTGGACAGTTTGGCTTTGAGATATTGAGTTATGTATGCCTTTATTGTTTTGGCATTGTTAATATCATTTAAGTACTAGAAGGTGTTGAATTTTCGTACATTACTGCTAATCATATAATTGCAAAGTTGGAAGGGACCCTAAGGGCCATCTAGTCCAACCCCCTGCAATGCAGGAAATTTTTTTTGCCCAAGGTGGGGCTCTTAACCCCTGACCCTGACATTAAGAGTCTCATGCTCTACCAGCAAAAACCCGCTTCGTCGTTCAGCTGCAAGCTAGAACAACTCTTCCGACTGAGCTATCCAATTAATCTTTTGCAAACCACATAAAGAGTTATTTAGTTTGAGAAAGTGTGATTCTGCCTCTCAGTTCTTTTGGCTTCAGCGACAACTTTGGGAACTGGTTACAGCTTCCCTCCAGATGTTAACATTTCACAGATTACTTGTTGCTCCATTTGCAAGCTGACGGGAAGCCTCCTTGCCAGATGTTTTGCAAACCCTCGCTGCCACTGATCCCCTCCTGCTGTTGGCACTGGCCAAAAGAGAGGATTGCCCTACACATCCATCGGTTTTAGATGTGTGCTCATGGCCCGTTATATAGGAAGAAATCACTTGGAACGCCGAGTGGCTTTCGAGACTTCTTAATAAACTGCATCCATCCGAGCCAAGGGTGAGTTTTTCCCCTTTGCCAAAGGATTTGTTCTTGCTCGCCCCTTTGCAAAAGGTCGCTTCATTAGCACTCTGTTCCCATCCACCGAGGATGGAGATCTGGGGTCGGTTTGGGGGCAAATGGAAGAGAAATCCTCACACTTCCCAAACCGTTACTCTGCAGGGAATCTTAATAAGGGCATTAACAACCAAGGCAGCACCCAGAACAGCTCTTTTGGGGAGAGATGCCACTCACCTCAGATTTCTTTTCCCAAAACGATTTGCACTTCTCCTCCTTTGAGCGCCCTCCCATTCACCGCCTCCCTTCCGTGGTGGTGACCTCTGCTTCTTATATCTCCGCAGCCAAAGAGAAGTAGAGCTGGAATCTCCGAAGTAGGAAAGGAGGGCTGCAAACAGCTAAGCTCCTCCCACACTGGGCGGGGCATTTGCCATCTGTGACCGTTGTTCTTTTTCTTTAAAAGCTCAATCCAAAAGCGACTGGAAAAGATTGAGATGTAATCCAAATGGGGAAAGTTGTTTGCCATATGGCGCTGCAAGAGACAGGGAGGGAGGGAGGGAGGGAGGAAGAAGGAAGAATTTGGTTCTCAGTGTTCCTGCTTCCACATCAGACATGAACAATTTGATTTAAAAATTCTGCCAACAGATATTATTTTTTTGAGCATCTGCGCTTAGAAATATCATAAAGCAGATCTGGAGTATGGCAAATGGGAAGAAATCATTTCCATTGTTTAAGGTTTCTACAGAAAACAGTTTCGTTCATATTATATGCAATATTTTTTCCATTTTGTGTCTCCTCCTCCTGGTGTCTCATTCAGATTGGGATCTCAGTGCTTGAACTTAATAAAAAATCCTGATGAACTATCTTGGACTGACAAGAGCACTTTGAAGTTGAAAAAATGTAAATCCAATTAGAAAAGAGCCTTCTTTTGGGAAACTGGAGGAAGGCCGGAGAATAAAGGAGTGGGGGAACTACCAGCCGCACAAAAGGAAGTTTGTTTGCTATTGTGTAACTGTCTGAGGCTGTTCGGGGATATGAATTTGGCCACAGCCCTTTGAAAAGCAGGAAATCCGTGAAGCTCTGATTAGAGAATCGCATATCTCACCCCTGAGTGGCGTGAGAATCTCAAGAAACACAGCCCTGTTGTCAGCCTTGAAATGCTCCTTACAAATCATTAGCTAATTGGGCAATGGTCCCTCCAGCTCAAGAGGTGCTGGGAGATCCTAATTCCCCCCTCACAGAACTACAATTCCCAGAGTTCCCAGGGAAGAGGGGTCGACTGTTAAGTAGGGCTGCCATATTTCAAAAAGCGAAAACCCGGACAAAAAAGTTGTAAGAAAAAGGCGTAATAACGAACTAAGGAGGAGACAGTTTACCAAAAACGAAAAGAGAACCTTGTTGAGGATGAAGGAAGTCAATTGGAAGAAAAGAAGAACTGAAATATGGTGTATATAAATTGTTGGCTATTGGTTTTGTATAAGTTTTCATACATTGTTATGCTTTGTTTGTATTTCTTTGGTTTTGGGTTTTTTCTTTCGATTGTGTATTATTATTTTCATGTTTAGTTTTACAAGTGTGTGTGTATGTGCTGTAAATAAACTCATTAAAAAGAGAGAGAGAGAGATTTTTTGGGGAGGTGGAATCCATGACTGTTTAGAAGTGGTAAAGGTAAAGGTAAAGGGACCCCTGACCATTAGGTCCAGTCGTGGCCGACTCTGGGGTTGCGGAGCTCATCTCGCTTTATTGGCCGAGGGAGCCGGAGTACAGCTTCCGGGTCATGTGGCCAGCATGACTAAGCCGCTTCTGGCGAACCAGAGCAGAGCACGGAAACGCTGTTTACCTTCCCGCCGGAGCAGTTCCTATTTATCTACTTGCACTTTGACGTGCTTTCGAACTGCTAGGTTGGCAGGAGCAGGGACCGAGCAACGGGAGCTCACCCCGTCGCGGGGATTCGAACTGCCGACCTTCTGATCGGCAAGCCCTAGGCTCTGTGGTTTAAAGGCTCTGTCCCTTTAGAAGTGGTACGATCCTGCTTTAAATGCCTAGTGCAGATGAGGCTTATTCTCCGGCTCTGAAGTGAGAGCTTTCCCCTCCTCAATGCCAGTTTGTGAAACTCCGAAGATCATCTACCATAAAACCACTCCTGGTTCACAATATGTTGAATTGACAACAGCCTCTCTGCCGCAGTGTCACTGTGAGGGTCAACATCCTTTACTTTAAGGGGAAATTGCTCTGTGTTGATGACTGCCCCAGAGAGCTATGAAGCCATAAACTTGATTTCTGAAATGCGCGTGGCATGCGGGGGGGAAATCTGAGGATTGGCATCGTTTTATAACATGTGCACTGCACTTTATGACGGCAATCATACCTTGAACTCTATGGGGTTGCCTAAATGAATAAAAAGTCCGGGAGATGGGAGACCAAGCAGAAGAGAGAATTGCCCGTCATTAAGGAAATGATTTCTCCAACTCAGAATGATCTCTGTGTTCTGTGCTGAGAAAGGGTTTCCCTGCACCCCAAGTGAGTTTTGTGAGCATCACTTTTCCAGTTAAATGGCAGGTGCCTTTTCCTGTAGCCATTGGCTTCATCTAGGCAGCATTGTTAAATCTACAAATCTGGGAAACCCAGCCAGATGGGTGGGGTATAAATATATTATCCCTCCTCCTGGGCTGTGTCCAGAAAGTGGTGTTCAGAAAGTGGTCCTGGAAGAAGCGGACCATTTGGATCCTTTCCAGTCAGGATTCAGGCCTCATCATGGGACTGAAACTGACTTGGTCGCGCTGGTCGATGATCTCCAGTGGGCTAGGGACAAAGGGGAGAGCTGTTTCCTAGTTCTGCTGAATCTCTCAGCGGTGTTTGATACCATCAACCATAACATCCTTCTGGACCGTCTTATGGGACTGGGAGCTGGGGGCACTGTTATACAGTGGTTCCGCTCCTTCCTCCTGGGCCGTGTCCAGAAAGTGATGGGGGGGGATGAGTGTTCAGACCCCTGGGCTCTCACTTGTGGGGTGCTTCAGGGCTCTGTCCTCTCCCCTATGCTTTTTAATATCTATATGAAGCTGCTGGGAGAGATCATCAGGGGGTTTGGGCTGGGTGTCCATCAGTGTGCGGATGATACACAGCTCTACCTCTCTTTTAAATCAGAACCAGTGAAGGCGGTGAAGGTCCTGTGTGAGTGTCTGGAGGCGTTTGGAGGATGGATGGCGGCTAACAGATTGAGGTTGAATCCTGTCAAGACAGAAGTACTGTTTTGGGGGGACAGGAGGCGGCAGGTGTGGAAGACTCCCTGGTCCTGAATGGGGTAACTGTGCCCCTGAAGGACCAGCTGCTCAGCCTGGGAGTCATTTTGGACTCCAGCTGTCCATGGAGGCACAGGTGAAATCTGTGCCCAGGGCAGCTGTTTACCAGCTCCACCTGGTACGCAGGCTGAGACCCTACCTGCCCACAGACTGTCTCGCCAGAGTGGTGCATGCTCTAGTTATCTCCCGCTTGGACTACTGCAATGCGCTCTACGTGGGGCTACCTTTGAAAGTGACCCAGAAACTGCAATTAATCCAGAATGCGGCAGCTAGACTGGTGACTGGGAGCGGCCACTGGGACCACATAACACCGGTCCTGAAAGACCTACATTGGCTCCCAGTACGTTTCCGAGCACAATTCAAAGTGTAGGTGCTGACCTTGAAAGCCCTAAACGGCCTCGGTCCTGTATACCTGAAGGAGCGTCTCCACCCCCATCGTTCAGCCCAGACACTGAGGTCCAGCTCCGAGGGCCTTCTGGTGGTTCCCTCATTGCGAGAAGTGAGGTTTCAGGGAGCCAGACAGAGGGCCTTCTCGGTAGTGGCGCCCACCCTGTGGAACGCCCTCCCATCAGATGTCTTATTTTTAAAAGACATCTGAAGGCAGCCCTGTTTAGGGAAGTTTTTAATATTTAATGCTGTATTGTTTTTAACACTCGATTGGGAGCCACCCAGAGTGGCTGGGGAAACTTAGCCAGATGGGTGGGGTATAAATATTATGTTGTTGTTGTTGTTGTTGTTATTTGGACCAGGTCTTTCCTGGTCCTCCGAGGAGTATATAGTCCACTCACCTGTGTCCAGTGGCAGAGATGCTTCTTTATGCCTCCAGGGACAAAATGTAGGTTCTGGTACCAGTTGGTCCTTACTGGAAGGACTGGGGAGTGTATCCCTCTCCTGATGCAAGAGCTCTCTGCATCTGAGGGTCGCTGGTCCAGAGCCATGACAGAAGGTGCTGCTGGGAGATGGCTGGTTCACCCAGCGAGCTTTAGCTTGTGATGTTCTCCATGTTTCCATCCTGCCTCCACATACTTTTTGAGATCTGTTATGAAATCACTAGAAACCTAGACAGCATCTTAAAAAGCAGACATCACCTTGCCAACAAAGGTCCGTATAGTTAAAGCTATGGTTTTCCCAGTAGTGATGTATGGAAGTGAGAGCTGGACCATAAAGAAGGCTGATCGCCGAAAAATGGATGCTTTTGAATTATGGTGCTGGAGGAGACTCTTGAGAGTCCCATGGACTGCAAGAAGATCAAACCTTTCCATTCTGAAGGAAATCAGCCCTGAGTGCTCACTGGAAGGACAGATCCTGAAGCTGAGGCTCCAATACTTTGGCCACCTCATGAGAAGAGAAGATTCCCTGGAAAAGACCCTGATGTTGGGAAAGATGGAGGGCACAAGGAGAAGGGAACGACAGAGGACGAGATGGTTGGACAGTGTTCTCGAAGCTACCAGCATGAGCCTGACCAAACTGCGGGAGGCAGTGGAAGACAGGAGTGCCTGGCGTGCTCTGGTCCATGGGATCAGAAAGAGTCGAACACTACTAAACAACAAATTGACACATAACTCTTAAAAAACACACACAAAAAATTGGAAAACTAGCAAGGTCCCAGCTAAAGAAGAATGGCAACTTAAGCCGACAGAATATACGCAACTGTTCGAAGGTTATTCTGAAGGTTCGAGTAGCTACACATCAGCCTCGAAATCTTACTGACTTGGAGAGGATTTGCAAAGAGGAGTGGGACAAAATACCTCCTGAGATGTGTTACAGACCTGGTGGCCACCTACCAGAAACGTCTGACCTCTGTAATTGCCAAGAAGGGTTTTGCCACCAAGTACTAAGTCATCTTTTGCAAATGTTTATTTCACTCCTTATAATGCACATCCATCTCTGACTTTTGTCTTCTGGGTTTCTGGGGGTTTTCCTGTTGTTATTCTGTCTCTCACAGCTGCAATAAACCTACCATTAAAATTATGGACTGGTCATTTCTTCGTCAGAGGGCAAACGGGCAAATTTTGCAGGGGATCAAATACCTTCCCCCCTCACTGTATATCCTCAGTCTTGGCATCTGCCATGCCAGGGAAAGACACTCTATTCCTTTCCTCCTTTCCCCAGAAACAAGGAGTCTTCCATCATAGGTTTTTCTCCACCTGTAATCGGAAGTGGTACAGTCCTGACCCATATTTACCAGCTCATCAACTGGTATCTCTGTTGTATTTGAAAATAATTCATGTGTGACGTGTGTGTGTGTGTGTGTGTGCGCACGAACACACTTAAACATCATGTTTATGTATGCAATTGTTTAAAAATGTTTTTATTATATTGTGAACCACTTCAGGATTTCTCACGGGAAGCAATTCATAATGGAAATAAATCATCGCTATTGATAATAATGATAGTAATAGCCATTTAGCATTCGTGGGAAGTTCTGAGAGACTGTTTCAAAGACAAGAGATGTTGTGCACAAGGTATATCAGTTCAAAATGTTCCCTTGCTCCTCCCTCACACTGCAAAAAGAACTCTCAATAATGCAAATTAACATATGCAAATCAGATTAGATGTTTAAAGCATAGACTGTTTTTAAAAGCAAATAAACACAACCTGAGCATGGTGGATGAAAACCATCTAGCTACAGCCTCCAGAGGGTGCAACAAAATATGTTTAAAATTAAGTCTGCACTTTCTCAATATACTCCACATGGGGGAGCTCCCATAATGCTTGGTCATGAATCTTCAGAAGCATAAACTGCCAATTCTCAACTGTCTATTTAGCCTGTGGAAAGTGCTGACACAGAGTTTTTGTTTTGTCTCAGCCAACCACAAGGCAACCCCCACAAAGATGGAGTAATTGCTCATGGGTGACGGTAGGATTTGAACCCAAGCCAAAAGCCATCTTCAAATCTTTCAAGGGCTGTCACATGGAAGAGGCAGCAAGCTTGTTTTTCCCTGCTCAGGAAAGTAGGACCCGATCCAATGGCTTAAAGTTACAAGAAGGAAGATTCTGACTAAACATCAGAAAAAGCTGACAGTAAGAGCTTTTGACAGTGGAACAGTCTCCCTTGGGAGGTGATGGACTCTCTTTTCATAGGAAGTTTTTAAGTGGAGGTTGGATGGCCATCTGTCCTGGATGCTTTAGTTGACATTTCTGCATTGCAGGGGGTTGGACTAGATGACCCTCAGGACCCCTTCCCACTGTACAATTCTATAGTTATATGGACTGAACTATAGAATGGGAATTGGGCTCACTATGTTATGGGCCTGCGGAACAAGACATCTTTTGCATGTTACAGAGCAGAGAGTCAGGCAGACACAGAGAGGGTCCCTGTGGACAGAGGAAGGGGCCTGACAAAGAGGGATGGGGAGCGAAGGGGGAGTTGCAAGCCAGCATGAGCAACCACTTCACCTAGACAAGAGCAACCCTCAGTAATCTCTGCGTTTTATTCTGCTTCCTTAATAAATAAACTACCGTATTTTTTGCTCCATAAGGCGCACCGGACCATAAGGCGCACCTAGTTTTTAGAGGGGGAAATCAAGAAAAAATATATTAAATAAATATGCATGCAGCCTGTCCACTTCTCCCAGAGTTTTTCGGGGCTGCCGGGGGAAGCCCGGGTCCCCCCCCCGGCCCCAAAGAGCAAAAGAAGCCAAGACAGCCAGCAGGATCCATCCTGCTGGCTGTCTTGGCTTCCTCTTTAGCCGCACGCAACCTCTCCAGCCGGGAGAGGCTGCACGCGGCTATGGCAATTCCCCCACCTCCCGCAAAAGCCAGCCAGCCCCAGGGCTTCAATCCTAGTTTGAATTTTGGTCTGGATTTCAAATTTTGGTCTGGGTGGGAAAGAGAGTGGCAGAGAGGGGGTTTGAAGGGGGTTTAGAGGGGGATTCCCCAATTATGTGATTTTCACTTATGCAGGCGGGGTGCCAGAACGTAAGTGGTTGGGGACACACCTGTGCTGAATATTCTGGCAAGATCAAGTGGAATCAGATGGAAATTTAGGCTGGGGCGTTTGTTTTCTTAAGTGGGGGAGGGAGTCCTTTTAATTTTTGAAGGCACATGGTTTTGATACAAGAATGGGCGGCTAGCTCCGCTGGGTTTGCTTCCCGCGCCGCGGCGCCCGTCTCAAAAGGGCAGCAAGCCGTTCGACCTCCTCATGGGATGCGGAGAGAGGACTTCCACCAGCAGGCGGAGGCGGTCCGTGAAGAGCAGAGCTTGGCTTCCGGATTCCAGGTCCTGGTTGAAGACGAAGAGGTAGACTTTGGCCAAGACGCTCAGGAACCCCAGGCAGACGGCCACCGCCAGAAACAGCCACACGACTTTGGACAACAGCAGGATGAGGCTGCTCTGCATGGCCAAGGAATCCTGGACCAGCTTGGCTTGGACCATCTCGTGCAGCAGAGACGGGACCTTGAGGCTCTCGTCCTTCTCCAGCCTCATGAACGACGTCTCTTCCAGCTGGTCCTTCAGGCAGAGGATCTCGTTCTCCTGGACCTCGCGGATCTGCTCAAGCTCATCCAAGGTGCGCTGGAGCTCAGCGGCTTCGCTCTGCTCCTCGCCGAATCTCTGCTCGGCCGTCTCGATCTTTGACTCCAGCTGCTTGAAGTAGCTCACAATGTGCTCCATCACCTGCTTCATGTGACAGATGTCCTGGTCTTGCGTTGCCTTGTAATCCTGGAAGAGAACGATGTGGCCGGACACCTTTTGTATTTCGGTCCTCAGCATCTTGTTGGTGCCTTTCAAGGCCGTGTTCTGGGATTCCAGCTGCGCGATCGTCTCCTCCAGCTTCCTCAGAACTCCCTGGAGCTCCTCTTCTTCCTTTTCGAAGTCCTCCGCCATGGCTTTGAAACACTCGATCTTGGCTTCAAGGCTCCTGTTCTGCTCTTTGACGCTCCTGTTCTCCGTCAGGATCTCCTGCTTCTCAGTGTCAAGGTTGGCAGCCGTCTCTCTCAGGTCCCAGATCTGGTTTTTCAAATTCCCGTTGGCATCTGTCAGGTGGCACAGCGCAGACTTGTCCATAGTGCGACAGGGCTTGGCTTCCGAGAGGAACAAAGGGGCTGTGGGCTCTGCAGAGATGAAAAAGACAACGTGGGAATAAACAACGTCTCATCTTTCTTGGCCTCTCAATATCTCAAGGGCTGTGTGATGTTAACATATGAGAGTGCTGGAGGTGAAATAGTTAAACAGGTTACCCAATCAGGACCCAGGGGGTGGAGTCAGAGGGAGTATAAAACCAGCTCTGGGAGAGCAAAGAGTGGAGTTCGTTGGGAGTTGGTTGGAGTGGGAGTCAATTGGGATAGAGTCTGTGGGGAGGTTAAGTTAGTGTAGCGAAATAAGCTGATTCAGAAAGTTAGGAGCTAGGAAGACAAGTAAATATCTGAGAGGTGGTTTAGTGAGGGAGAGCAGGTAGCGGAAGTTATAGGTCTGGATAGGCACCCCATGATTGTAATTGACCGATACCGTTTATGAAACCACATGCTTGTTAAACTGCAATAAATAAACAGAAGTTTATGTTCCAATGTAACGCTGACTGGACTCAGTATTGTACCAGGTGGGGCCTAGGTGGTGGCAGCGAGAAATAAAGTGGTGGCACAGGGATCAATAGACGGTGAAAAGTCCGGGGACCCTGTGTGATCGCCACAGGCTGTCACATGGAAGAGGGAGCAAGCTGCTCCCTCTTCTCTCTCTCTGGACCCGAACCAATGGCTTCAAGCTACAAGAAAGGAGAACACAACTCAAATTCACGGAGAACTCTCTGATAGTAAGAGCTGTTCTAACAGTAGAACTGTAGATGCTTTAGTTGAGACGCCTGCATTGCAGGGGGCTACATGATCCTTGGGCCACTTCCAACTCTACAATTCTTTGATGGCATGATACTAGGGTCTCTGCTATGCTATTTGAATGGTGTAGGTATGTGGGTGGCGCTGTGGTCTAAACCACTGAGCCTCTTGGGCTTGCCGATCAGAAGGTCGGCGGTTCAAATCTGTGCGACGGGGTGAGCTCCCGTTGCTCTGTCCCAGCTCCTGCCAACCTAGCAGTTCGAAAGCACACCAGTGCAAGTACACAAATAGGTACCACTGCAGCAGGAAAGTAAACAGCATTTCTGCGCACTCTGGTTTCCATCACGGTGTCCCATTGCACCAGAAGCAGTTTAGTCCTGCTAGCCATATGACCCGGAAAGTTGTCTGTGGACAAACACCGGCTCCCTCGACCTGAAAGTGAGATCAGCACCGCAACCCCATAGTCTCCTTTGACTGGACTTAACAATGGAATGGCATTTTTTAATTGCATATTTTAGTTATATTTTAATGCTTCTGTAATTTGTTTTACCTGTAGAGGATTATTTTGCAATTAAACTGTTTATTCGCAACTTGGGACCAATTTACCTGCAAGATCGCCTTACCCAATACGTGTACGCCCACAAGCGCTTCTGTCTGTAGGACTGGTACTGTTGCAGACGCCACATAACACTCGCTCCATGTTTGGAAGAAATCCATTTTTTTGCATGGCAACACCTACCCTTTGGAACTCCCTGCCTATTGACATCAGACAAGCGCCTTCACTGTACTCTTTTCGGCGCCCGCTAAAGCCATTTTTGTTTAGACAAGCCTACCCAGCTGTGTAGAATTTTGATGCATGTTTTAATCTGTTTTTAGTTCATTGCTGGTTATATATTTTGAATGTTTTAAACAGCTGTTTCCCCCCAATAATTTTAAAACCACGTTGATGCTGTTGGGTTTGTTTGTTTTTTACAATCAAGCAGCGAATAAATTTTATGAAACGAATAACTCCAAAGCATTTTACTTATTTAAGTCTAGATTATTTCTTTTGCAATATTGAGTTTCTTCTGTGTTTGTTAATGGGGCTGATTTCTGTATTGCTGGATACGTTTTGTAAACTGCTTTTTCACCCGCCCCCTTGTTTTGGATTTGAGAATAAGTGGGTGCCATTTGTAAGATGCTCTGGGCGCAGTGGAAATAAATTCAAGCAATCTCAAAATGGCAGGGCCATAGGTGCCAACTGCCGGGGGCCCTGGGTGTCTGAGCACCCACAAAATTTGTTAAGTTGTGGGTGAACATATCAGACGACACAGCGATTCTTCAAATAGCTCTTGTTTATTCACAGGCCAGAACAGAACTGAACCGAAGGGTTCAGCCAGCCTGCTTATATAGAGCTCCACTAGAACGCAACAGTAACCATTTTCTGTAACTATCCAATCACTGAACGTCACTTTCAATCCGTTATTTGCATATGTGGACCTGAGTGAAAACTATCTACAGTATCCCCCTGCTGGCCCAGGGTGAGAACTTCAGTACATATCAAAATTTCCCGTGAAGGTGCCGGGCACCCACAAAGTTTGGTGCCATGGCCAGGCACTTTGCATGGCACCCACGCCCCGGGCACCTACGGTCGCGGGGCCAAGCTGGCACTCCTGGCCAGGGGCTCTGATTGGTTTTGCGTAGAAAAGGAGGCGATGAAATGAAAGCAGAAAGCCAAGCTTTGCCTACTCACCCAAGAGCCAGAGTTTTTGATAGGTTTTTGCCTACATGCTCTCCTGGAACTCAGCCCCAACCAATCCAAGGCTGGCTGCTGGAATCTGGCCTGCAGCTGATGTCACAATGCCCAGCCCTGAGATCATTCTCAGAGGGCGTGGAAATGGAGCTGGTGCAGAAAAGGCCTAGAGCTCGAAGAATTAAGAGGAGGACAAGCACCGACCCATTTTAACCACAGATTGAAAGACTCAAAATGTTCCGCCCGGCTTAGGCTTCATCGCTCACACGCTTCCACTTTTTTGGGTTAAAGGAGGGGAAGGAGGAGTTGGGCCACTGGGATAAACTGCCTTCATGTCCAATTATTATTACTATTATTATTATTATTATTATTATTATTATTAATACCCCGCCCATCTGGCTGGGTTTCCCCAGCCACTCTGGGCGGCTTCCAACAAAACACTAAAATACAGTAACCTATGAAACATTAAAAGCTTCCCTGAACTGGGCTGCCTTCAGATGTTTTCTAAAAGTCTGGTAGTTGTTTTTCTCTCTGACATCTGGTGGGAGGGCGTTCCACAGGGCGGGTGCCACTACTGAGAAGGCCCTCTGCCTGGTTCCCTGTAACTTGCCCTACTCCAAAGCCCTAGTAATAAAACACAGGATTTAAATGATTGGGGCTTTTTCCCTGTGGTTTTGGCGGTTCTTATTTTTATCTGTAAGCTGCCCATCTTGAGTCCCCGTCAGGGAGAAAGGTGAGGTATAAATATAATAAGGCAGCAACAACAACAATAAACAACTCATTGCATTGCAGAGAGTTGGACTAGATGAATCTTGGGTCTCTTCCGACTCTACGTTGTTGTTGTTGTTGTTGTTGTTGTTACAGCTGCACACATCAGCAGCTACTCACTGCCTTTAAAAAGGCAGAACAATTCACAGAGGGGGGTATTTATCTCTGTGTCTGTCACTGCTAATTCTTTTTATTTGTTTTATTATTATTAATAATAATAATAATAATAATAATAATACATAATTTATACCCCAAGGGTCAGGCTGAGTCCAAACCAAAGGCCAGGTGGAACAGCTCTGTCTTGCAGGCCCTGCGGAAAGATGTCAAGTCCCGCAGGGCCCTGGTCTCTTGTGACAGAGCGTTCCACCAAGTCGGGGCCAGTGCTGAAAAGGCCCTGGCCCTAGTTGAGACCAATCTAACCACCTTGCGACCTGGGACCTCCAAAATGTTGTCATTTATGGACCTTAAGGTCCTCCGTGGGACATACCAAAAGAGGCGGTCCCGTAGGTACGAGGGTCCTAGGCCGTGAAGGGCTTTAAAGGTCAAAACCAGCACCTTAAACCTGACCCTGTACTCCACCAGGAGCCAGTGCAAAGGTAAAGGTAAAGGTACCCCTGCCCGTACGGGCCAGTCATGTCTGACTCTAGGGTTGTGTGCTCATCTCGCTCAAGAGGCCGGGAGCCAGCGCTGTCCGAAGACACTTCCGGGTCATGTGGCCAGCGTGACGAAGCTGCTCTGGCGAGCCAGCACCAGCGCAGCACACGGAAACGCCGTTTACCTTCCTGCTATAAAGTGGTACCTATCTATCTACTTGCACTTAGGGGTGCTTTCAAACTGCTAGGTGGGCAGGAGCTGGGACCGAAAGACGGGAGCTCACCCCGCCGTGGGGATTCGAACCGCCGACCATGCGATCGGTAAGTCCTAGGCACTGAGGTTTTACCCACAGCGCCACCCGCATCCCTTTTTAGGAGCCAGTGCAGTTGCATTTAACTCCCACCTTTCTTCTCAAGGGGGAATCCATTGTTTTCTCTCCCTCCTCATTTAACCCCCCACAACACCCCTGCGAGGTAGGTTAGGTTGAGAGGCAGTGCGTGGTCCACACAGTCACCCAGCAAGCTTCATGACCGAGTGGGGATTTGAACCCTTGTCTCCCAGGTCCTAGTCTGATGCTCTAACCACTACGCCACATTGCCTCTGGTCCTGTTGTGATCTTCTCAAGAGGCATCTGTCTGACTTGACCACCGCTGGTCCACCTGAACCCTTTTATCGCAGCCCGTTTCCAGAGGAGAACTGCCATTTGTCCCCCCTGTTGAAGGCCTGACTGAACTCGACCAGAAGTTCGGCATTGAGTGTCATCGCTGATCACATGCTATGGCGCACTCTCCCGCCCGGTGAAAATCCTGAGTTTTGACTTTCATTTGCCTCTCAGTGGCTTTTTTTATGCCAACAGGCAGTCGCTCGGGTGTTTTCTCGAGTCACCAGTCATTTCAATGATTGCCCTTTATTGCGTTAAATGTTTCTGTGTTGCTCTATAATTTCACCCCAACAATTTGCGAGAAGGTTGCAGGTAAATACTTTTATGAATAAATAAAACAAATATTTGAAAGAGTTGAGGTGTCAGGAGGTGCATAGATGTTCATTATATTAGTACCATTGATTTCATAATTTTTAAGGATCCTTCATGGCTTAGGACCCTCATACCTATGGGACCGCCTCTCCCGATATGCCCCACGGAGGACCTGAAGGTCCATAAATAGCAACACCCTAGAGGGCCCTAAGGAAGTCAGATTAGCCTCAACCAGAGCCAGGGCCTTTTCAACACTGGCTCCGGCCTGGTGGAACGCTCTGTCTCATGAGATCAGGGCCCTGCGGGATCTGATTTTTTTCCGCAGGGCCTGTAAGACAGAGTTGTTCCACCTGGCCTTTGGCTTGGAATCAACTTGATCCCCTCCTCGTCCCCCTCTTTCCTTTCTCCTTTCTCCTTCTGTGATGGAACTCCCATTTGGGGACTTCCCTGGCTTTTTTCTGGCCCACGTAGGACCAGTCTGGATAATTGGCCTTGGTGAAGACTTGACGTTTTCATCCCCCAAAAAGTTTTTGATTTGAATTCCTACTGAAATGAGGCTGCATTTTAATGTTGTATTTTAATCTTGTTTTTAAGTTGCATTTCAATCAATTGTTTTTATAGCTGGTGTTAGCCACCCTGAACCTGGTCTTGGCTGGGGGGGGGGAGGGGTATAAATAATAATAATAATAATAATAATAATAATAATAATAATAATAATTACCTGCTGGATCAGGCCAATGGCCCATCCAGTCCACTGTTCTCACAGTGGCTGACCAGATGCCTGTGGAAATGCAGCAATCAGGATTCGAACGCAAGTCCAACTCTCCCCTCCTGTGGTTTCCAGCGACTGGCATTCAGAAGCATTCCTGCCTCCAGCTGTGGAGGCAGTTGTGCTTCGGAATGCCATTATTGCCCAAAGGCAGCCCGGTTATATTCTTCCAAAAGGTAACCAGAGTCTATCTCACAGTAACTTTCTAGCTTTCACCCTCCATCATGGGGCATTTCTGCAACAGATTTGTCATCCCCCCCCACATGACATCTGCAGGTGAGGAGACAGCTTCCTGGCATCAAAGCCACTGAGCCATTTCTATATCATTTTGCGGATTTTATAGGGTTGTGTCAAGATCGGTCTTGGGCCCAAGTTTTATGTTTTAGGGACGTGGGTGGCACTGTGGTCTAAACCACTGAGCCTCTTGGGCTTGCCGATTGGAAGGTCGGCGGTTCGAATCCCTGCAACGGAATAAGCTCCCGTTGTTCTGTCCCAGCTCCTGCCAACCTAGCAGTTTGAAAGCACACCAGTGCAAGTAGATAAATAGGTACCATTGCGGCGGGAAGGTAAACGGCGTTTCCGTGTGCTCTGGCTTCCATCATGGCGGTCCATGGCGCTAGAAGCGGTTTAGTCATGCTGGCCACATGTCCCGGAAAGCTGTCTGTGGACAAACGCCATTTCCCTTGGCCTGAAAGCGATATGAGTGCCGCAACCCCAGAGTCGCCTTTGACTGGACTTAACTATCCGGGATCCTTGCCCTTTACCTTTACATGCTTATATACTCAACTGACAAGTGGTTTTAATATGGGATTTTACCGCATTTTCGCTCATGCCTTAGCTGTCTCAGTGCAGCCGCTGTCAGATAACATAGCATATAAATTATAGCCAGCAAATTATGAATAAAATTATCATGGATTTGCTAGAGAGGCATTTGCAGAAATAAGAGGGATGGGAGTTGTATCTGCATCATCATGCAAATTGCATTTCCTGATTTATCCAGACTTATTTTTCACCCTGCTCTTTCTAGGCACAGGTTTCTCCTTAAAAGCTCCGTATCAGTGTGTGGTTTTTTGCCCAATATAAATGTCAAGGCT